TGCTATGCGCATCATACCTCAAGGCCGTGCTTTCATCTCACGACTCCTTTACATGTTCCCACTTTTTAGACATGATGCACACAGGTTATCCCTGGATACCGAAGCCACGGCAGACCTACTCATGTGGAGAAACTTTTTAACCACCTGTTATGGTAAAAGTATGTTCCTCCCTAAATTGTCTGACTCCTCACCTACCATCTGGTCAGACGCGGCGTCTACCACAGGTTTTGCAGCAATTTATGGGAACGAATGGCTTTGGGGCAGCTGGCCTTCAGAGGTTAAGGACCTGGAGGGTTTTTCCACTACCTCAGCTCTGTTTGAGATATATCCCATAGTGGCGCTGCCATGGCATGGGGGCATTTATGGGCAGGTTCGCCAGTACGTTGCTACTCAGACAACCAAGCAACTTGCCACATTATTAACAAAGGCCGATCCAAATCACTGACTATTATGAGATTCCTGAGGAAACTCACTTGGTTGGCTGCATGTCATAATTTCTTCTTATTTTGTGTTCATGTTCCAGGTGTATGTAACACGGCTGCTGACAATTTGTCTCGCTTTAATTTCCAGGCTTTTTGTCAAATACTCCCGTCAGCTGCACTCACAGCCATGACCACTCCACTATTCCACCATCTAGTAATGGACTAGATGCTATCATGCAACATAGCAGAACATTGGTCAAATTAGCACTGTCTACTAATACCTGGAAAACTTACGACAGAGCTTTAAATTTTATTTAAAAGATTCATTTCGGAACACAACATCTTACAACCTTTCATCATGACATCCTTGTTGGGGTTTGCTTCTTTTTGCCACCTCAAACTCAAATTATCATACAACACAATCAAACTATATCTGACAGGCATCCAACATCACATGCTAACTTTACAACCCAACAATTCGAGTTTCATGTCCGCCTACCAAATTAAGAACATCCTTAGGGGTATTCAGAGATCCAAACCTCCACGTACGGCCTAGAGACTACCTATAGATTTCCATATTTTTAAAGACTTATCCAACTTACTAGGTTTAAAACCCTTTGCCAACAGCACAAATCTTGTCATTAAAACCACCATATACGTAGCCTTTTATGGTTTATTGAGACCAAGAGAATTTACCGCCATCAGCACAACACAGTCCACTCACATCCTACTTCATTCACACTTAACAAAACACATGGACTCTTATATCTTGATTCTGCCTCATTCCAAAACCAGTCAACATGCACCTCCAGTAGAGGTTAAGTACTATCCTACTCACAACAGGTGGTTCCCCCGTCAAACTACTGGATTCATATACCCAGCATAACAACGCATCCCATATCAACCACTTTTCAGTCTACAAGGTTCTGTACTCACTACCACCACCTTTATGACACACGTCAGGTCTTTAGTTACACAGCTGGGCCTCAAATCAGCTAACTATTCGGGCCAGTCCTTCCGCATAGGAGCGGCCTCCACAGCATCCAGTGCAAACATCCCAGTTCATGTTATCAAGTCACTGGGGCGCTGGAAATCATCCGCTTACTCTAGATACATACCTAACCCGGTACAAGAAGTAAGAAATGCTTTTCAAGACATGTCTGGTTAAATGTATGTATATTGCTGGTATGTAATAAATTTGATTTTCTATTTTTGCCCTCTTTATTTACAGGCCTACCTCATCGTCGGTTCTGGCACACCACAACCGACTTGCTCTTTTAATACCATCCTACACTTATCAGTGTTTGTTTCTTCTGTACTATCACGAGCCCTTAACACAAATATATATATATATATATATATATATATATAGATAGATAGAGATGTGTTTGTATATAAACGTTTGTATATATATATATATATATATATATATATACACACACACATACACACTCACACTCTAACACACTTATACATACATATATGCTTCAATCAAAGACATAAATAGAGTAATAAAAACTATTAATAAAAATAACACATCACCATAAAAAAAGGTATAAAAAATATATATACACACAAACACGATTGCACACAGTGCAATTGCGCACCCCAGGAAGCGGGGGGATTGACACTCTACTCTCTAAGCCTAACTCCTCACAACAAAGCTATTGTATATAGTTAACACTGCTTGCCACTCATACCAAAATTTAGACGAAGACACCCACAGAAAACTTAATGTATATAATATGCCTAAACTGACAACTGTCAAATGCATGCACTGCACTAATGTATGACACTGCGCTGTCTTGTTCGAAAATGTACACGCTTTCATGTTTATCATCTACTTCGTCAAACCAAAAATAAAGAATTTAAAAAAAAAGTGGATAGATGTGTCAATCCATGTCTGTGACTTTCATCAGGAACCTTTTTAATATGAGTCTTCATTAAAGTTTACAAATTTTAATCTTCAGTAAAACCTTGAGTGCTGGTCATCTGTACAATTTATGTATAATATTTTCCCTGGACTGCAAGCACCCGAATTATATATAGAGCCTGTGTGCAATCATACAGTTTTTATATATATATATATATATATATATATCTCAATATATATATTTTTATTTATATATTTGTTACAAAATGTATAAGTGTATGTGTATTATACATATACACACACACACACACACACACACAAACAACAACCCCATGCTGAGGGTGTTCATACACAATAACATGTCTACTAAACCACCTTTCATCGATGCATTGTATATCTATACACTGTCCATCCTTCTGAGGTACAAGGGGGATACTTCGACGCTTTGGGTCCACTTGCGTCCACGTTATTTACCTCAAGGAGGAGTGGCAGCACTCCACCATCTTGCATGGCCAGCACCAAATCTGTGTCTCCATGCATATCACACTTACAGTCATTTTTCCTTCATCCATGTTGACTTGCAAGGGAAATGTCTGGTTGTGCAAGTTCACCTTGCATTGCCCTTTGCATCTCAACATTTTATCTCTCCCACCCTAATACTATCAGTCAGTCTCCAAACTGTCTGGCTCTAGCATGATGACATTGAAAAAATTTCACTATTAGACACTATCTTATCTTCAATTTAATTAAAAAATGTCAATGAATAGACTTTACTTCCCCCATCCATGTATGATTGCAAGAGAAATGTCAGGTTTTAAAAATTTAACCTTTCATTGCCCTTTGCATGTCATCAGGATATCTCTACACTTCCAATTCTTCCCCCCACACACTCACTAATTACTAACAATCTACAAGCTATCTGTCCCTAACAATAAAAACTTTTCCCTTTCATGAAACAATCTTATCTTCTATTTATTTGGAAATGCTTTTTAAAAAAAAAAAAATCAATGTCCTTGCTACTCATGAGAAGGTGGTATGCTTGGAAGCTCTCACTTCATTGACCTGGAGTGGTCTGGGTGCCAGGTCCCTCTAGTTTTAACCCATTCCGATGTAAACATAGTTTCAGAGAAACTGCTATGTTTCACTGAGGGTTAATCCAGCCTCTAGTGGCTGTCTCACTGACAGCCGCTGGAGGAGCTTCCGCAATTCTCACTGTGAAAATCACAGTGAGAAGACGCTGGACGCCCATAGGAAAGCATGGAGTAATGCGGACGTTGGCAGGAGGAGGAGAGGTCACCAGCACCGAGGGAGCTCGGCGCTGGAGAAAGTCAAGTGTCTGAAGGTATTTTAACCCCTTCAGCACAGCAGAAGGGGGGCAATGAGGCTGGGGGTGGGGGGGGACTAATGACCCTATAGTGCCAGCAAAACGAGTCCTTTCTTTTTAGTATTGTAATACTGCAATTGGTTATGTTTTGTTTAACTTACTTTCTAAAGTTTGGATGCTAAATTTTATCATTATTTATGATTTTATATTCTATCCTCCATTGACAATCATATTTTGTTTGGTTATTTATATTCAATATAAAATGTTTCCTTTATTTATTTATTTTTATCATAGTGACTACAGAAAAACTGCCTACAGGTCCTTCACAATGTGGGTGTACGGATACTTGGGACCTAAATGGCAGCGTCCGATCCCCTCATGCACAGTAAAATTGATTAGGTCACACTTTCCTGCACCTGATGCGATATACATGGGGTTTAGATATGCGGATGATGACCCTATATCTGTGGAACTTGTATAGTGGACAGTATGTAGCCTTGGCATTGGTTTACTTTTTCAAAATTTGTTAACTATTCCACATTATTTGTTCTTTGTATATAATGTTTAAAAAAGTTAATTTGTTAATTTATTTTTTGTGTAAAATGTAAACTGTAAAGAAATATATATTTTAGTTATATTAATAAATAAAATGTTAAAAAAATTATAGAATTTTTCATTATTTTAATGATACTTTTACTCATTTTTTTTTTACAACCAAAATAACACACATATTAATTATATATATATATATGTATATATATATTCAATACTAAAAGTACTTATACTGCAGTGTGATGGGTAAAATTATTTGTCCTTTAAACCTGCTATTACTAATTTCAATAGGGTGTCTACATGTACATGATTAAAGAATAAAGAACAAAAATTGAGAACTAATAAACATTTATTAACAAACATACATTTTTTTAAAACAATAATTTAATGTAATAAAAAACAAATTTTTATACTTTCAATTTTGATCACAAGTAAACTTTTTTTAAAAAGCACGGACATCACAAAATTAACTTTATCGTAACATTAATTGGCTTAGAAAATGTAAGTATTATTATAAAAACTGTTTTTATTTAAATAACACCTTATTGTAAAATATCAACTTTTAACTTGTAAGAATAAGACAATAACAAATATTTATAAATAAACAAATTGGTATACTACAGGCACCCTAAAAACGTAATTTCCATTAAGCTGTTATGGTGCCTGTAATGTAACAATAATATTCATAGAAATTAAAATTTGCTGTTCTGCTACAAATTACAACCAAATTGCACTATAAACAAGTATTTATCACTATTAACAGAGTTTTTATTATTCTTATCACCTGTCCAAAAATTTCAAACACAAAAATGATACATTTTTTAAAATTTTAAAGTCTTCTTGGACGTAAATGTGAAAGGTGATGGTCAACCATTTCCTCCGTTGATGGGCGAGGTGTTGATGCAATGTTTCTTGGAAGTTGCCCTGTTTGAGACTCCCAATTAACTTGTAAGTCACCTGAGGCTATTCGTAGCACATCAGCCATCATTGGGTATATATGGACAATAGTTGTTTTTTCATGTATGTTCCAATTTTTACTCCTTTTAGAGAAAAACGGTTTGAAGCGCAAGTCCCCAATGTGTCCACTGCCTTCTTGTTCTTTGTGGATAGTAGCCTGTTCTCTGCCTATATTGGCGTTGTGTGCCAAAACAGCCAGTTGTGTCCTGGCTACCATCCCATCCATCGTGAAATGAACTCTTTTGGGACGGTATTTTAATACCAGGCTATGAAAGACTTCCAGTGAGCCCAAGTGGCAAAAATGAACCAGATGTGGAAAGTCTTTCTCTAATTTTGAATCTGTGACAAAGCTCCTAAGTTTTGAGTATGCCACTCCATTTTTTTTCAACCATGATGTCTGTTCTTGAGTTTGCACATATTCAGCATGTTGGCATTTTTTTAAAAGTGTCGCAGACTCCCATTCATGTTCATTAATTATGTGATGCATTACCGACAGCCATTTTTCTTTTAACAAAACAGGATTTCCTTTGCTATACGAACAAGCTGCCCACATGTGATTTATTATAGAATTTTGCCACGGAACCAATTCCTTGTACATCGATTGTCGACATATGGTTGAAAGTTTTAAATAAATGCTCCTACAATAGTGCCATATATCGAATTGATGATTAATGTGTTTGTATCTCTCTCTCATGATTTTCCTTATGCTGACATGATGATTGGTTACGAGAATAGAAATTAGAATTTTATCAGCTAATACTTGGTCCATGCAACGTTTGAATGCCAGGGATTCCATAGCAATGGATGATTTTTCCTCACTCACTTGAATTGTGTTACATTCTATTATTTTTTGTGATTTTTCCTCCAAAAGTGAATACGTGCAGTACTTGGCGTTAAATCCAGGGCTATCACATTGCCCATCTCCTGAAAGACATACCATTTTTCCACGTAAACTATCTATCAATAATCTTCTTTCTTTCTTGTAATGATGATCAATTATTGGAAATAAAAATAGTTTTTGATATATGTAATGCATGGATTGTGAAATAAATGACACTCCAAAAATTGCAAATAGTTCAGAAACTTTAGCAAAGTGTGAACCACTGAACAAAATTGAGGCACTTGCTAATAAATTCCCACAAGAACGGTTCCCAATCATAGGCTGGCTGCTCCAAAATTCACAACGATGATTCGATTCACAGACAGTGTATACTTTCAACAAAGTGCCGGATATAATTTTTTCAGTGTTAGTTATCGGAGAGTTACATGTTTCTGGAAAAGTACATGTTTGAACCTTTTTAATCAATAAATCAAGAGAAGTTTCAAATACAATAAACTTCTTTTCAGATACATAATCCTCAGGAGAGGGATCGGTTAAAAATGTAAGATTGCCAATATCTGTTGTTTCTTCTTCAGGATTGTAAATAGGATCTTTGAATTCAGATACCTTCAGAGTTGCATCCATTTCCGATACTCTTGTAATTGATGAAATTTTGGAGAATGGCGTATCTATATTTTCAACAGGAATGGACTGTTGGGAACTTGTGGATAACAGTAGGCCTTTCTCCATTGGCATATCAGCTGGCTTAGTGCAAACCTTTTTTATAGCATCTGTTTGATGTACAATTGCAGCGTTTGATGAATTGTCAATGTATTGTGTCGATTTTTCTGTAGGACCAGTCCAAGTCCAGGCATCCCTTGTTTGATAATATTTATATGTATTTATATTGGTGGCTACATCTCTTGTTTGAATTAGATTTTGTGTTTGTGTAGACCTGCTCCGCCTTCCATAGTATTTGGAAGTATTTGTGGTGTTGGTAGCTATGTTCCTAAATGATTTATCTAAAGCCAATTTGTAATTGAAACCTGATATATATTCATGATCGTAGATAGATGTCTCGCCTTCTGCGGAGTCCTCAGTTAGCATACAAGCAACCTCTGACGGAGCACTGAAGTCAACCATATCTATATCACTAATGTTTTCTGATCTCCTTAAAGACATATCGTGTATAGTTTGTAACACTTTTGCTTTTTCAAAAATAGTTGGTTTTGCCATTAAAACCAATCTTGTTCTCCTTTCAGACTTCACTATCATTTCTGCTGTAAAATGGTCCGAACAAATTTTGAAAATCTCACTTTTTTGTTTATCAATGATTAATTGAATTGCGGCATCTATGTTGACAAATTCATCACCTGTGGCTAAAAGCCATTCTTTAATTCTGTCCGGTGTACTTGGAAAATTAAAGAAAGAGCAATCAGCTGAATGTTTAGTGTGACTGTTTCTGCAGCCTACAACTAAACACTTTGGCATTTTGTCTATGTTTGTAAAAAAAATAAAAGGGATGACAAAAGAAAATAAGAATAAAATGTAGTGTGATAGTTTGCGCCAACACTTCTCTGTTAATTAAAACAGAAATATTTTTAACATTGTTAATTTTGACAATTAAAACTATAATAATTTTTTTAATTTTGTAAACTCCAAAATGGATGACGAACACATAAAAATACAGGCATTGAAGACTACATATACGGCACGTAATTAAACACCTGTACCAATTGTGACTGTAAAACGTGTGATTAAAAAAACAATGCACTCGTGTTCAAATTTATGCAAACATTCATGTCTTCTTATGCTACTGTTACCAATTACACTGTACCACTGAAACCTTATTAAAACCCCCACCAAAAAAAGAATTTTAAAAATATATATAATATATATTTATTAGTTTTGAATATATTAGTTTAATTTATTTTACACTGTGTTATGTTAATCTTTGCAAATTAAATACTCACAAAACCAGGACTCATGATAAAAGGTGTATGGAACACTGTTAATATACATCTACAGAACAGCAAGTAGAGGAGCTTATGAGATTTACATAAGTAAAGTAAATAGCACGTAGCTGACGTTGGACGTTCTCACGGATTACAACATCAGATAAATTCACTGTAGGAATGGATTGAGCAATGCTTTACTATGGGAGAGGTTTAAAGGACCACTATAGTGCCAGGAAAACACTCTTTTTGCACCCACCCTCAAGGTCCCCCTCCCGCTGTGCTCTGGGGAGCGGAACGTGTTAAACTTACCTCTTTCTCCAGCGCCGGGCGGGGAGCTCTCCTCCTCATCTTCGGCTGAATGTGCATGCGCGGCATGAGCCGCGCGTGCATTCAGCCAGTCCATAGGAAAGCATTAACAATGCTTTCCTATGGACGCTGGCGTCACGTAAGCGCCTCTAGCGGCTGTCAAGAGACAGCCACTGGAGGATGGATTAACCCATTTATAAACATAGCAGTTAGGTGGACCTGACACCAAGACCACTTCATTAAGCTGAAGTGGTCTGGGTGCCTATAGTGGTCCTTTAATCAGTGAGCGACACAGGACATGCAGGCACATTTGGCACACCCTGCAGGATGACATTGCGGTAGGCAATGGAGAAGACCAGCGCTGAGGTATGCTTAAAAACGGTTATGCTAAAAAGGTTTCTATAAAAAATGTTGTGACCGCGTGGTCTGTAATCACCTAAATGTAGATTAGGGCACTTGAATTTTAAAGCCAATACCGATAATCTCTGAACTTTAAGGCTGATAGCCAAAGCTTACCGATATTCTGTACATTTACGATTTATATAATAAAAATGAAAAATATTTCGAAAGGTAAATGCACAAAATATACATGCCACATGTAGTAGATGCAGTGTGTTTATACAGGGGAGTTGTGTGTATTTGTGTAGTGTGTATATAATGAATGCATAGCGTGTGTGTGTGGTGTGTGTGTTTCTGTAGGTATGTAATTTGGGTGACATTCTTTCTTTTAGACTATTTAAAAAAAATATATATATATTTTAGTCCATTCTACCTGCTTCTTACTTGGCCATGGAGGGGGGAATATAGCATTCCTTGGTGGTCCGGTGGCATGGACTGTGCAGCAAGCTCTTACTTTCCTTACTATCAGCTCCCTTCCGCTCCAATGTCTAAATCTCGAGCCCTGTGTGCCATGGTAACAGGTGTCAACAGTCTGACGGCCGTGGGACACGCAAGACTTACACAGGGGGAGCAGAAGGGAGCTGCTGGGAAGGTGAGTCAGTGGCGGATCCAGAGCCTGATCTCGGGAGGGGCACTTGTAGATTATTTAAAGAAATAATCCAGACACAATAACCACTACAGCTCAGTGTAGTGGTTATGGTGTCAATAGTGCCGGGACCCCCTCCCACAGTAAGTAGTCAAACCGTTTAAAACAGTTTGACAACTTACCTGAGATCTGCTGGGAAATGGGGCTGTAGTAGGGCATAGGAGCAGTGGTGTGTGTGAGTGGTGCTATGTGTAAGGGGTGCAGTGTGTGTGTGAAGGTTGTAGTGTGTGAGTGAGGGCGGCAGTGTATGTCAGGGATGCAGTGTATGTGTGGGACAGTGTGTGTGTATGGGGGGGCAGTGTGTGTGTGTATGGGTGGGCAGTGTGTGTGTGTGTGGGGGAGCAATGTGTGTGTGTATGGGGGAGCAATGTGTGTGTGTATGGGGGAGCAATGTGTGTATGTGGGGGCAGTTTGTGTGTATAGGGGGCAGTTTATGTGTATGGCGGGCAGTTTATGTGTATGGGGGGAAGTGTGTATATGTGGGGCAGTATGTATGTGCAATGTGTGTATGGGGGCAGTGTGTGTGTATGTGTGTGTGTATGGGGCAGTGTGTGTATGTGTGTATTTTGTGTGTGTATGTGGGCATGTGTGTGCAGTGTGTGTGTATGGGGGCAGTTTGTGTGTATGGGGGGCAGTATTGTGTGTATGGGGGGCAGTAATAATAATGTGTGTGTATGGGGGCAGTATGTGTGTATAGGGGGCAGTGTGTGTGGGGGCAGTATGTGTGTATGGGGCAGTGTATAGTTTGTGTGAATGGGGAGGGCAGTTTTGTGAATGGGGGCAGTTGTGTATGGGGGCAGTTTGTGTGAATGGGAGGGCAGTTGTGTGTGAATGGGGGCAGTTTGTGTGAATGGGGGCAGTTTATTGTGAATGGGGGCAGTGTTTTTTTTTCAATGGGGGCAGCTTATGTGTGTATGGGGGGCAGTATGTGTGTATATGTGTATGGGGGAGTAGTTTGTGTGTAGGGGCAGTTTGTGTATGGGGGCAGTGTATGGGGAGGGCAGTTTGTGTGAATGGGGGGCAGTTTGTGTATGGGGGCAGTTTGTGTGAATGGGGAGGGCAGTTTGTGTGAATGGGGAGGGCAGTTTGTGTGAATGGGGGGGCAGTTTGTGTGACTGGGGGGGCAGTTTGTGTGACTGGGGGGGCAGTTTGTGTGTATTGGGGGGGCAGTATTGGGGGCAATATATATGTGTGTGTGTGGATTTTTTTAATTATATATATATATATTTTTTTTATTTAATTAAAATAAATATTATCCTATGTCCCCCCTCCCTTCTTACCTTTACTGGGGAGGAGGGGGGACATATTTCGATCCCTGGTGGTCCCAGTGGTTACAGTGAACTCTAGCCCGCGCTCCCGGGCTAGAGTTCACTCTCGCGAGATTTGGAGCGTTGCCGTGGTAACCGCGGCAACGTTTCAAATCTCACGAGAGGAGGACCCGGAGGAGCTGCAGCCTGAGCTCCGGGTCCTCCCTCTCACTCCCTCCCTCCGCCGCCGGCCGCCAGCACAGTGCCTGCGGACCGGGGAGGGAGATCTGTGATCTCCCTTCCGGTCCACAGGCACATTGCAGGGTTGGCAGGGGAGGGAGACCGGCGGAATTCTCGGGGGGGGCAATTGCCCCGTTGCCCCCCCCCTGGATCCGCCACTGGTTGTGAGACAATTTTCATTCTATATCCCTGCTTACAGTGGACACAAAGCTTCTGGCTAAATGAATGAATCCTCTTTTACTGCAATTTGTGTCAACAGAGCAAGCAGGGTTGTATCAGAGCGCAAAGTTGGGCATAACACTAGATGTTTCCTACAGTTGGTCAATTCCTCTCATACCATGGGCTTCTTACAGGCATTAGACCACCCATATTCTTCCCCTTCTATCTTGAGAAAGAAGACCTTTTCCGCCTTTATAGGCTTTTTGATGGTATCATCAAAATATTTCTCAAACAAAAGATTGCCTTAAAATGGAATAGAACCAAAATAATTATTTGATGAGGCATCTACTCACCAGGAATGAAGCCAGAGGCTCTGCAGACAGCCACTGATACAGTGGCGGATCCAGAGCCTGATCTCGGGAGGGGCACTTGTAGATTATTTAAAGAAATAATCCAGACACAATAACCACTACAGCTCAGTGTAGTGGTTATGGTGTCAATAGTGCCGGGACCCCCTCCCACAGTAAGTAGTCAAACCGTTTAAAACAGTTTGACAACTTACCTGAGATCTGCTGGGAAATGGGGCTGTAGTAGGGCATGGGAGCAGTGGTGTGTGTGAGTGGTGCAATGTGTAAGGGGTGCAGTGTGTGTGTGAAGGTTGTAGTGTGTGAGTGAGGGCGGCAGTGTATGTCAGGGATGCAGTGTATGTGTGTGCATGGGGGGCAGTGTGTGTGTATGGGGGGGCAGTGTGTGTGTGTATGGGTGGGCAGTGTGTGTGTGTGTGTATGGGGAAGCAATGTGTGTGTGTATGGGGGAGCAATGTGTGTATGTGGGGGCAGTTTGTGTGTGTATGGCGGGCAGTTTGTGTGTGTATGGGGGGCAGTGTGTATATGTGGGGCAGTATGTATGTGGGGCAGTGTGTGTAAGGGGGGGCAGGTGTGTGTATGGGGGGCAGTGTGTGTGTATGTAAAGGTGTGTGTGTATGGGGGGCAGTGTGTGTGTATGGGGGGCAGGTTTTTTCTAATGGGGCAGTATGTGTGTATGGGGTGTTATGTATAGGGGCAGTTTGTGTATGGGGGGCAAATGAAAAGGGGGGGGCAGTTTGTGGAATGGGAGGGCAGTTTGTGTGGAATGGGGCAGTTTGTGTATGGGGGGGTTTGTGAATGGGGAGTGGGCAGTTTAGTGAATGGGGCAGTTTGTGTGAATGGGGGGCAGTTTGTGAATGGGGCAGTTTTGTGGGAATGTATTTTTTTCTATGGGGCAGTATGTGCGTATGTAAAGTGTGTGTGTATAGGGCAGTTTGTGTATGGGGCAGTTTGTGTGAATGGGGGGCAGTTTGTGAATGGGGCAGTTTGTGTAAAGGTGCTTGTGTGAATGGGGAGGGCAGTTTGTGTGAATGGGGAGGGCAGTTTGTGTGAATGGGGGGGCAGTTTGTGTGACTGGGGGGGCAGTTTGTGTGACTGGGGGGGCAGTTTGTGTGTATTGGGGGGGCAGTATTGGGGGCAATATATATGTGTGTGTGTGGATTTTTTTAATTATATATATATATATTTTTTTTATTTAATTAAAATAAATATTATCCTATGTCCCCCCTCCCTTCTTACCTTTACTGGGGAGGAGGGGGGACATATTTCGATCCCTGGTGGTCCCAGTGGTGATTCCCTGGTGGTCCCAGTGGTGATTCCCTGGTGGTCCCAGTGGTTACAGTGAACTCTAGCCCGCGCTCCCGGGCTAGAGTTCACTCTCGCGAGATTTGGAGCGTTGCCGTGGTAACCGCGGCAACGCTTCAAATCTCACGAGAGGAGGACCCGGAGGAGCTGCAGCCTGAGCTCCGGGTCCTCCCTCTCACTCCCTCCCTCCGCCGCCGGCCGCCAGCACAGTGCCTGCGGACCGGGGAGGGAGATCTGTGATCTCCCTTCCGGTCCACAGGCACATTGCAGGGTTGGCAGGGGAGGGAGACCGGCGGAATTCTCGGGGGGGGCAATTGCCCCGTTGCCCCCCCCCTGGATCCGCCACTGAGGTGAGTAAGAGCTTACTGCGCCCTCCAGGACCACCGTGATTATCATGTGCCCGGCGGTACTTATAGGTATTAACGGCAAGATCGGTATCTCTATGTGCCGATACCCATATTGCTGAAAATAGCCAATATCAGAAAGACCGATAATCGGTCGATCCCTAATATTGATTAATTTTAATTAAATGTTAACAATCAAAAACATTGCCTACCTTGATCCAAGTCATACACAATGCTGATTCTGATGAAGGAAAATAATTATCTGAAAATAAAAACAAAACAATATTATATTAAAAAGAAATTTAAATTCAAGTTTAAGATTAGATGGATACGTAAGCATGAGTTTGACTGTGAACCAGCAGGCGAAAAATGCATCCCCAAGAAAGGAAAAGGTAAAATTCAGGGCAGCACTTTTCACGTGCCGAGCAACAGTGAAACTGTGGCAATATACAGAAATGGAGTTCAGCGACACAGCCATTTTATGTGTGCCCGCAAGGAAAGCAAGCACAGGAGAAGAGCCTGCCTTGCATGCGCTGAAGCACAAGATAACGGCCAGCTCTTTTCTTGCGCTCCAAAGACAGCATACTAAAATGGGACATACAGATTGAAAACACAAGACAATACTCATTTAAAAAAAAAAAAAAAGAAAGAAAAAAAGTGAGTTTGACTGTGTACCAGCAGGCGAAAAATGCAGCCCCAAGAAAGGAAAAGGTAAAATTCATGGCAGCACTTTTCACATGCCGAGCAACAGTAAAACTGTGGCAATATACAGAAATATATTTCAGCACCAGAACCTTTTTTTGCATAGATATCTCTTTATCCTATATGTATAAGCATACAATAAGACAAAGAGAGCCAGGCAAACTTTACCCCAAAATATAGACAAATTAAAACTTACCTTAACCACTTTGAATTTGTCACAAATTCTATTGCGCTTTGAATGATTCTAAAATCGGCGTTCTGAAATTGAAAAGAAGATAAATATTGTTTTAAAAATTCATTTATGTTATAATGTTTTTATATGTAACTAAACAACATTCTTCTTCGGCACTCTGTCTTCAGTGCGAGATTCTCTCTCACACACTTGCCCTCGAGGAATAAAACTGAGATGTGAACGCGTTCTGGCGCGTTCACAGCTCAGCATAGGCTATAATGCAGGCGCGCTCACATCTGAGATGCCTGCATTACAAGGGAATAACGTTAGACGTCAGCTCACTGTGATTCTAACAGTGAGGATTGCGGAAGCACTAGTCTCAGAGACAGCCATTGGAGGTGGGAATAGGGGAAAAAAAATACACTGCATTTTCTCAGAAACGGCAGTGTATTAAAAAAAAAAAAAAAGTAGGAGGTACCTGGCACCAAGACAACTTCATTAAAATGAATTTGTCTTGGTGCCTAGAGTGGTCCTTTAATGACTGTTTATGAAATGCATAATATCTTCATGAAACACACACTCCATGAGAGCTAAAAGGGCAGACATTTGAACGTTGAGTGTATTAAGACCTAAACCTATGTCAATTCCAGACTGACGAAAATTTAAGATTTCCACCACTGTAGGAGAAGAAACGGAATTCAACACGGCCGATCTGAGAAGGTGTTTCGGATCCTATAATAAGAAGCAAAAGGTTGTCTTTTTCCACGGGCTTCTTATAAAAAAACTAGGCCTTCGCACAGGAGATGAGGAATGACTATCAATTCCCAATGGTTTTTCCTGAGATAGGAGTAGGAGCAAACCAGGTAACCCAGGGCCTTCAAGGTCAGTATGGCAGAATGGCAGTGAGCTCCGCATTCTCTCTCTGAAATCTTCTGAGCATAGGAACAATCACGTGATAGACGTGCCATCGGCTTGTTCGAGCATCCATTCCCTCTGACAAGGGACTGAATTTCATTGAAAAGAAACTTGCTACTTTTCTTTGATGTAGCCATCACGACTCCCCAAAGGCTAGTAATCTTTTGAAATACTCTGTCCGCCAATGACAATTTGCCTGGATCCACTGCTACTCCGCTGAGAAAATACATTGTAGTATTTTCTGTTCCCAGAAGGTAAATGGACTTCAGGTCTGCAAAATGTCTCTGTGCCCAGGTCATGACTGGAGAAGGATGGATATCAAATGCAAATACTCGTATCTCTCTGATGATTCAATTGTGACACAAATTGTCACCCAGTGGTTCTGCAGGAGATGCTTGAAATGGCCTAGGGCTAGCCATACCATTCTAAATTCCAGCGTGTTGGAAGGAACTTTTTTTTGCATAGATATCTCTTTATCCTATATGTATAAGCATACAATAAGACAAAGAGAGCCAGGTAAACTTTACCACAAAATATAGACAAATTAAAACTTACCTTAACCACTTTGAATTTGTCATAAATTCTATTGCGCTTTGAATGATTCTAAAATCGGCGTTCTGAAATTGAAAAGAAGATAAATATTGTTTTAAAAATTAATTTATGTCATAATGTTTTTATATATAACTAAACAATTATAAAAGGATATATATATATATATTATATATTATAAGTACACTTTAGATCAGTGACCATGGACCTAAAAAAGAGACTAGATTAGTTCTCATTCCCTCTGGTTGGCATCTATAGTTCTAATCGCATATAATACTTATTTCAACGCAAAGCCCTTGTAAGAATGTTCTTCCACAGACCACCTCTAAGGGGATGATTTCAACTTCTGAGAAACTTGAATGTACTGATCCTGAAATATTTAATTGGAATAATCCATGAGCCATCTCTGGGGAATTCACATGTGCAGCTGATCAGCCCTATTGTGATAGGAAGGGACCCCAGGAAACTCTTATAATCTTTAACTGAAGTCCTTGAACAAGGTAGAACTTGAATCTTTTCCTGGCTTCAATGAATCCATTCACAGGGCAAAGACACTATGGCTGTGATAATGTTAAAACTGGCACCCTGATTGATCAGGAGTTGAGAAATAGACCGTTGACTCTGCCACCTGTTTACCAGAGGTATGTGTTCCACTACAGACTTCCTGTCGGAGGCAAGAATAAGGATGTCTTCATATAATGAAAAATCCTTATCTTTTGGATTTCTGCAACCAAAGCTATGAGGATCTTGGAGAAGGTTCATGTAGCTGTGCCCAACCCAAAAGGAAGAGCTTGAAACTAGACGTGCAATTTGCTTCGTTCCGAATGTCAATTCAAATGAATTTCGGGAAATTCGGCATTCCGAATTTTGGAATGCCTATCCGCCGAATGTCCAAATAGCCGATGTGTCGAATTTGCCGAAGTACTAATATACCCAGTGGAAGAATTAAGAATGTTACACTGTATACCAGTTTAAATAAAAAGTATACACACATAGCCAGGATTCAGCTGTAAGCATTTGCAACACTTACAAAAATCAAGTAATACATTCATATAAAATGTAAGTTACATAGCTAGTCAATGGCTACTATACCGAGAGTAGGGGCATGTCTAGTAAACAGTAAGCCACCGGTGGCTGCTCACTGTTAAAAATAAAAAAGTGTCCCCTGTCCCGAGCCCCCACCTGTGCCGTGCGAGTGGGGGCTTTTTAAACTGAAGGGGGGGACCTATTGCCCCCACCCCTGAGTGGCGGGTGGGGGCCGTAAATCAGAAAAAGGGGGGTGGGACCTATTGTCCTTCCCCCTGGCCCCCACCCCTGAGCGGCGGGTGGGGGCCCTAAAGAAGAAGGGGGGACCTATTGTCCTCCCCCCGGAGCGGCGGATGGGGGCCCTAAAGTAAGATAAGGGGAGGGGGACCTATTGTCCTTCCTCCGGACCCCACCCCTGAGCGGCGGGTGGGGGCCCTAACGTAAAATAAGGGGAGGGGGACCTATTGTCCTCCCCCCAGACCCCACCCCTGAGTGGCGGGTGGGGGCCCTAAAATAAAATAAGGGGGGGGAGGGGACCTATTATCCACCCCCCCGACCCCACCCTTGAGCGGCCCTTAATAAAAATGTTACCCTCCCAGGTGACTAGGGTCCCCAAACCCCTAGTGACCCCCCTCCCCCCAAAAATTAATAAACCCCTAACTAATCCCCTCACCCTAAAAATAGTAAGGGGGGAACAATGACTAAATATGTGTGAAAAAAAAGAAAAAAAAAAAAGATAAAAGAAAGATATAAAACTTACTGGGGGGAGGACAATAGGTCACCTTACGCTGTAACACGTACGATCGTTACATCATACAACCCATTACCCAGCAACTCAGACGTAATATCCAGCCTACTAAAGGTGTGCTATAACCCTATCATACCTCGGCCCTCCATGAGCTACGCAATTTTTTGTCCCCTCATTTGGGCACTCACATACAGTATAAGATTTACATTTGGCATAAGGTTATTTTGCCATACAGCCTGCCACAACCATGTTACGAACGCTGGTATAGTAGATACCCTGTTCACCTATTGCCTCCTGAACTGCTGAGCCTGAATGATTATAGCTTGCAGTTCGGGTGTAGATTTGAACGGTTTCATCACATGCTCCCCCTTACTTCAATGGGTCGGCATACCCGCCTAGACCCTGCTGGGTTGGCTTGGGGATATCCAGGGAAATCCAGTTTGACATGATAAACCGTCCGTATTGCCGTTTGTTTTGTTCCAGCGCAGCAAGCGGGGATTGTCTCTAAAGACCCTGTTTAGCCAGAAGAAGGGATTATGATCGGTCATTAGGGTGAAGGAATGACCGTACAGGTAAGGTTGGAGTTTCTTTAATGCCCATAACAGAGCCAGGCATTTCTTCTCCATAGGGGCATAGCTGACATCTCTGGGTAGTAGCTAACGGCTTAGATATTGTCAGGGTTACAGAATGATCCAGCATGTAGAATTGTGTAACACAGAGGACTGATAGATAACATATACCGGACCTTAGAATGGCCGAATAACGTACCAAAGAATAGTCAGGAATAGCCGAGGTCAAGGGAAACAGAAAGAGACACAATGATAAGGAAAAGCCAGGAGTCAGTGATGCCAGAAAACAGGGAAGTCAAAAACAATGCCAAAGTCAAATAACCAGAATTACCAGAATCAATAACGCGCTCTCGGACAACCACAAGGGAAACCACGACAGGGCACTGAGCAGGATGAGAACTGGGCCTAAATACCCCTAGGGCTAGGCTGTAACCGGTCTTTGACCCAAAGGCAGTTACCAGGTTCCCATTTGCATAATTGCTGCTCAGCATTAACCCTTCTGTGGATTTGGTTGCTGCTCAGCACAACTTTTCCTGTGTGGACAGTAAATGCCATTAACCACATTTTTATAAGCGGATGAATACGTGACAGATATGCCACCGGGTGTTCCATCCCGTAATCCCCCACTTGACTTAACACGGCTCCCAGCCCAAACATGAAGGCATCTGTATGGACAAGAAACTTTTTAGTAGGGTCTGGAGCTGCCAACACAGGTGCTTCACTCAGCGCTGTCTTAAGTCTCTGAAATGCTGCCGCACACTCCGGGGACCAATCTACCTGTTTGGTCAATGACTTCTTAGTCAAGTTGGTGAGTGGTCTAGCCAGGGCGCTATACTCCAGGACGAATGTAATAACCTGCGGTGCCCAGGAAGGCTAGTACTTGGGTTTTGGTTCATGGTTGGGGCCAGTTTGCAATGGCTTCTACTTTAGCTGGCTCAGGCCGCTGTTTCCCTGATCCTACTCTATGGTTGGGATACTGAACCTCCGCCATGCCTACATGACACTTCCCGTGCCTTAAGGTGAGCCTGGCCACTTTTCTGGAATACTGTAGCCAAGTGCTTCAAGTGGCCATCCCATGCGCTACTATAGATGGCAATGTCGTCTAGGTAGGCACATGCAAAGTCATTCAATCCATCTAGGAGTCGATCAGCAATATCCCTTGCACAAGTCTAGGGTAGTTGGAAAATGACCTCCAGCCATGCAATTCGTCAGTCCGAGGCATGGGGTAGGCATCAATTACAGTCCGGTCGTTCAGTTTCCGGTAGTCAATACAGAAGCGAGTCGTGCCGTCTCGCTTCGGTACCAGCACTACCGGGGAAGCCCAGGGACTCTGAGAGGCCTCAATGACCCCTAGTTCTAGCAAATATCCTGGATATCTTTCCACATTCCAGATCGAACTGATTCAGGAATATGGTAGGGTTGTTGCCGCAATGGGGTTTCTCCCTGAGTCTCCACTCGCTGGACTGCAGCGGAGGTGTACCCGGGTATCACAGAAAATAATTCCCGATATTCCTGAAGCAGCTGGGAAGCATCAGCCTGCTGGACAGGGTCTAACTTTACCCCTAACCCAACCTGCTCGATTGTACATGGGTTAGTAGCCAGCAGGTCTAATAGTGGAAGTCCCCCACTATCCTCGGTTGATGGGGCGCATATGGTGGCCACATCCTCTGCCCGTTCAAAATATGGTTTTAGCATGTTCACGTGAAAGGCTCTCCTGATCCTTTCATCAGAACATTTTCCTATGATGTAGGTGGTGTCACTAATCCATTCTACCACCTAAAGCGACCTTTCCAAGCTACCTGCAGTTTGTTCTTTTTGAATTGTTTGAGTGCTAGTACTTTTTGGCCAATCTCCAGTATTCTATCTCGGGCCCCCCTGTTGTACCACCATTTTTGTCGTTGTTGAGCCGCTTGTAGGTTTTCTCGAACTGAGTCGGTCAGGGCCTGCAAACTATCCTTGAACTCCAGTACGTATGGTACAATAGGTATTCCTTTGTCTCCTGTATTGCCCTCCCAGTGCTCATGTATACCTACCCTGGAGAAAATTTTGACCAGTGCCTCGGCTCCAGTTTCTGCCTCGATGTTGGAAAGGGCTACAGCCTCCGGGTACCTAGTGGCGTAGTCCACCACCGTGAGGATGTAGCTCTTGCCCGAGGAACTGGGTTTGCTGAGCGGCCCTGTGAAGTCCACCGCTACTCAGAGGAACTGTTCTTCTATTATGGGTAGCGAGCATAACTTGGCTTTAGTATGGTCATCCCTCTTACCTATCCTTTGGCAGGTATCACAGGTCCTGCAATATGCCTGTAAATCTTTAGATATCTCAGGCCAAAAAAACGTCTGGTCCTTAGTTTTCTTCACACCTAGATGTCCTGCTAAGGGGATGTCGTGGCTGAGTTTAAGGAGTTCTGCCCTGTACTTGAGAGGTAATACTAACTGCTTTTTGAGAATCTGTGCTGCACCACTCCCAACACCCCCAGTCACTCGGGTAAACTTTTCTTGGGAATTACCTCCCTTAGGGGATGCTACTGCTTTTCTGTAACCCTCTAATGTGGTATTTGTCTGCTGGTCCTGCTCAAAGCCCTGTGGGGTACCCTAGAAGGGAATGGGAATATTGGATAAATTACAGTCCGGTCGTTCAGTTTCCGGTAGTCAATACAGAAGCGAGTCGTGCCGTCTCGCTTCGGTACCAGCACTACCGGGGAAGCCCAGGGACTCTGAGAGGCCTCAATGACCCCTGGTTCTAGCAAATATCCTGGATATCTTTCCACATTCCAGATCGAACTGATTCAGGAATATGGTAGGGTTGTTGCCGCAATGGGGTTTCTCCCTGAGTCTCCACTCGCTGGACTGCAGCGGAGGTGTACCCGGGTATTACAGAAAATAATTCCCGATATTCCTGAAGCAGCTGGGAAGCATCAGCCTGCTGGACAGGGTCTAGCTTTACCCCTAACCCAACCTGCTCGATTGTACATGGGTTAGTAGCCAGCAGGTCTAATAGTGGAAGTCCCCCACTATCCTCGGTTGATGGGGCGCATATGGTGGCCACATCCTCTGCCCGTTCAAAATATGGTTTTAGCATGTTCACGTGAAAGGCTCTCCTGATCCTTTCATCAGAACATTTTCCTATGATGTAGGTGGTGTCACTAATCCATTCTACCACCTAAAGCGACCTTTCCAAGCTACCTGCAGTTTGTTCTTTTTGAATTGTTTGAGTGCTAGTACTTTTTGGCCAATCTCCAGTATTCTATCTCGGGCCCCCCTGTTGTACCACCATTTTTGTCGTCGTTGAGCCGCTTGTAGGTTTTCTCGAACTGAGTCGGTCAGGGCCTGCAAACTATCCTTGAACTCCAGTACGTATGGTACAATAGGTATTCCTTTGTCTCCTGTATTGCCCTCCCAGTGCTCATGTATACCTACCCTGGAGAAAATTTTGACCAGTGCCTCGGCTCCAGTTTCTGCCTCGATGTTGGAAAGGGCTACAGCCTCCGGGTACCTAGTGGCGTAGTCCACCACCGTGAGGATGTAGCTCTTGCCCGAGGAACTGGGTTTGCTGAGCGGCCCTGTGAAGTCCACCGCTACTCAGAGGAACTGTTCTTCTATTATGGGTAGCGAGCATAACTTGGCTTTAGTATGGTCATCCCTCTTACCTATCCTTTGGCAGGTATCACAGGTCCTGCAATATGCCTGTAAATCTTTAGATATCTCAGGCCAAAAAAACGTCTGGTCCTTAGTTTTCTTCACACCTAGATGTCCTGCTAAGGGGATGTCGTGGCTGAGTTTAAGGAGTTCTGCCCTGTACTTGAGAGGTAATACTAACTGCTTTTTGAGAATCTGTGCTGCATCACTCCCAACACCCCCAGTCACTCGGGTAAACTTTTCTTGGGAATTACCTCCCTTAGGGGATGCTACTGCTTTTCTGTAACCCTCTAATGTGGTATTTGTCTGCTGGTCCTGCTCAAAGCCCTGTGGGGTACCCTAGAAGGGAATGGGAATATTGGATAAGGATGGACTGGGTGGTCCTACCTGTGGTTCGTCGGAGTGTGCTGGTTCCCCCCGGCGGGCTTGGGCACAAGTGGTCACTGGGTACGTCCCAGCTGGATCAGGTTATGTAAGCTGCAAAGCTTGACATCCCAGATCATGCCTACTTCCAACTCTTTGGCGCCGGTGCCCCAGTTGAGGTGTACCCGAGCAGTGGGTAATTTATGTATAGCACCTCCCACTACTCTGAGCGCCACAGTCCTGTTGGTGTGGGCTCTGGCCGAAACTGTATGTGGTTGCACCAGGGTGAGAGTGGCGCCGGTGTCCCTTAATGCTTGGGCATCTTTCCCGTCGACGGTAACCCACTGTCGGTGGTTCCCCCCCGATTGTCACCTTCGGCTTGCATTGGGTTGACCTTGTATAGCACTGTCCATTGCTCCTCGTTGGGTACTTGCGTCATGGAGCATGGAGATCTTCTCTGGTGAAGGCCTGTCATCACAGGTATCTTCAGAGTCCCCTTGATTCTCTTATGGTTTCAACTCACATAGTAAAGAAATGGGCCGCTGGAAATCAGCCACTTATCGCACGTGCAGACCACGTCCAGAAAAGGAAATTATAATGTTTTAATACCATGACTTTGTAAGTATCGTTTCTGGTTTAATAAGTATTGCTTATCCTTTTGCCTTCTTTATTACAGGCCTAACCACTCGTCGGTTCCGGCACACCACTACTGACTTATAGTATAATAATACTTATTCACGATTGGCTATGGTTTCCGACCACAAATGTAAAGGCGTTAGCCTGTAGTTGTGGAAGGAGTTGTACGGCCTATTTAAACCCAGTCCTACTCCCCTTACCTGCACTCGAGTTCCAGCGTTGCCCTCCCGCCTCACCCTTTTGGTTAATTTTTAAATATCATCAATCTAATCAGTTGGGCCCTCTTCATTATAGGCCTAACCACTTGTTGGTTCCGGCACACCACTACCGACTTATAGTATAATAATACTTATTCACGATCGGCTATGGTTTCCGACCACAAATATATATTTATAAATATATATAATACGTTTGTGTGTGTGTGTATATATAAATATATATATATATTTATTTAAGAGCTACAGAATCTATTGGCGCTATATAAATGGCAATAATAATAATAATATATATATGCACACACACATAATAAGTGTGTATGTATATACACATATGTGTATACAGTGTGTGTTTTTTTATCGCGTGTATACACACACACACACACACTTTTATTTCCTATATTTGGATAATATATTATACATATATATATACGATTTCATTACAAGTGTATTTTGAGATATATATGTATATATCTCAAAGTACACTTATAATGAAATCATATATATGCATTATATATGTATATTATAAAATGCTTAAATTATTTTATAATATATTATACATAAATATGTATATATATATATATATATATATATATATATATATATATATATATATATATATTTTTTTTTTTTTTTTTTTACTTTTTAGCAGCATGGGGGACTGTCTGACAACTCAGACAGTCCCCCTGCTGGCAGCTCCTAGACTCCTATTGCGGCGATGTAATGTTATGGTGCCGCGGATCGCCGGTCCAGGTAAGTCCAGGGCTCCTATTTGCCGTGGTCGTATTAGGTACGTCCGCAGTCCTTATCCCGTTTCTAAGGGGGGAGATATATATATATATATATATATATATATATATATTTCATTCTGGATATATATATTATATATATATTAATATCAAAATATAGTTTGAATAAAATTACATACATACATACATACATAGATATAACTTTTACAAAATTATTTTTACAGTTTTTTATTTATTTTTAATTATTATTTATTTTTACAATATATACACAGAATATAGTATTGGGTACGTCCGCGGTCCTTATCCCATTTTTTAAGGGGTTATACATATATATATATTTTCATTCTGGATGTATTTTGATATAAATATATATATTTTAATATTAAATTACAGTTAGAATAAAATTACATATATATATATATATATATATATTTTTTTTTTTTAAAATTATTATTTTTTTTTATTTATTGTTAATTATTTTTTATAATATATAGTTATTAAATATTATATACGTGTGTAATTTTACTCAGTGTATTTTTATTAATATATGTATATATTAATAAAAAATACACTTAGTATGACGTTATATATAAGATATATATACATATTATTTATAGATATATCTGTATATATATATATATTTTTTTTTTTTATTATTATTTTTTATTTATTACCTTTTATTGATTTATTTTTTAAAACTTTTTTCACCAGCAGGGGGACTGCCTGTCAGTTCAGGCAGTCCCTCTGCTGGCAGCACTGTGGACACCTACTGCAGCCATGTGACTGCTCTTTCAGAGCAGTTACATGGTCCCTGGGGGTCCTAAATTGGAGAGGGGGTATTGCAGCAATACCATTAGAGATGCTGGAAGCGATCATGATCGTTTCCAGCGCTCTAATTCCCTGCGGACGTATTAGGTACGTCTGCAGTCCTTAGGGACCATTTTTTGTCGGACGTACCTGATACTTCCATGGTCACTAAGGGGTCAAAGGGACACTCCGCTGTTTAGTACATACCCCAAAAGAAAGCATACTTGCTTTTATTTATATTTTTTTCTGTTGGGGTTATATTTAAAGCCAGCTTGCAAAAGCTGAAAATCTCTTGTTTGCAGCCTTTGACAGTCCTCCCCTTCATCCCCAGCCCAGACTTTCTGTAACTGTCCAATCACAGACTTCCCAATGCAGCTCAATGAGAAGTGTTTGCAAGGCAGGTGCTCTGGGCCTTTGCGGGGCATTTCAGCAAAGCTAAATTAATTTAGGAGTCTGGAGTGTCCAATTCAGTTTTAGTAAAAGGTAATATTTTCCCTCACAAAACTAAAATTATTTTATTTTCAGAATTAAAGGATTTAGTTAAGGAGAAGCCAAGTGTTGTTCTGATTCATATCTCCTGTACTAAATGCTTGCAGTGGTTTTGCTTTATTGCTCGATTATACACATGGCACATGACACTGGGTTAGAAATACTCCTATCTTATACTATTACAATGTTACATCAATGTTACCAGCTACACCAGCCTCTATGCTCCTCGCTCTTTTTTCGCCTCCCGTGGGCGCTTTTGATCAGCGCAGTCACCTATGGTTTGCGTTCCATTATGCGTTCCATGACGTTTAGGAGGTGTGCGCTGCCTCTGGTGTTTAGAACTATGAACCTTAGGCGACTTCCTTTCCTTTACCCCTTCGCGTTCCAGCAATGGTGACGGAGAAAAGCCGTGTTCCAAGCCCGTGTTTTGCGACACATCCGTTTTCAGTGTGCTAGTGGCGGTGGCGCTTGCTTGGAGGGTTTTGCTTTCCGAGGCTGATACGGTGCAGGCCCAAGCCTTAGCCATGGAGGTCCCTCTACCCCCAGACGGTGAGAATAAATAGCGAGCTGCTCTCAATGAAAGGCTGTGTGAGATCTACCCTGTGTGTACCGCCATGCTGGCCAGTAGGCAGCTAAATGGGACCAGCCCTGATCACAGAATGGTTATTATTAGTAAATCCTAATGGACCTTGCCTTCACCCACCCAATACGCATGTAAACGTTATCTATAAAATATTTTGCCAGGAAGGATACATTGAGATTTATCTCTTATTTCAAGTATGAGAGCAGTGTGTATGTGGATATGTAACAGCAATATGTTTTTTTGAAATTATGGCATTCCATTATAATTGGGGTTTATCACTTATGGGAGGTGAACATGTAACCTTGTGTTTGAGTGGATATCCATGAATCGGTTTACTAGGTATTAATGTGCACTTTGTTGTTATTATAGACTTTTATGGTCTCATAGTCACATTCATGGTTTTTGTTTGCCAAGGTAAAAAGGATTCTCAGGATCTGCTCTTTTGGCAGATATTTTGCAATTTTGTTATTATTTAAAACAACTTTGTGTTCAGTAAATGACCCGTTAAAGAACAACAGAGTTGTTCATTAGACTCATTTTTTTGGGTAAATATAAAATGAATTGAAACTTTAGACCGAGTAAGCTATGTTTTTAGCTTACAATACAAACCAAAGAAAAAAAGTTACTTGCGGACTATTCCAAATCCCTATGCATGTTAAGATAAATGGAGGTTTTTCGTTCCACTCCAATGGTCATTAGATGTAAGCCCACCTGCCACGTCAAGTTTTGCCTTGACATGGCAGGTGGGCTTACATCTAATGGCCATTGGGACGGAAGTGAAAACCTCCATTTATCTTAAAAGACCACTATAGTGCCAGGAAATCAAACCCTCAGGGTCCCACTCCTGTGGCGCTGAAGGGGGAGGAAGGGGTTAATCCCCTACCTTTTTTCCAGCGCTGGGCTCCCTCTGCGCTGGGGACTCTGCTCCCTCTTCTGATGTCATCGGCTGAATGCACATGCATGGCAAGAGCCGCGCGCGCGCATTCAGCCAGTCCATAGGAAAGCATTCACAATGCTTTCCTATAGACGCTGGCGTCTTCTCACTGTGAAAATCATTGCTGCTGCCCAGGAGCAGAGGGAGTCTGATCGAAGGATTTAATTTTGTGTATATGTTTTAAAGCTTGTGTAATTTTTACTATGGATTATTGATAAATTACTCTTACAGGGGTATGAAACCTTTGTCAATCCAGATGTTGTGGACTACATCTCCCTAAATGCTCTTATAGCCAGAATGCTGGCAAAGCATCAGGGGATATGTAGTCCACAACATCTGGAGTGACGAAGCTTGCCTACCTAGATAAGTGGAATTCCTGTTGCCTGACGCAAAGACATATAGTTCAAGACAGGCAGGTAGGCTTTTTGTTTTTAGCCCTTCTATGGGTTAGTGGACGGGCTGCTACAGGGAGCATGGGGCTGCACATTGCTAGGGGCTGAGTGCCTGAAACTCTTCATGGCCTGCCTGTCTTATTGTAAGGTGCCTACTTATTTTTTTGGCTGGATCAAGCTGCTGACCATTCCCTCTGCCCTACCCTCTAGATCCACATTATGCCAGAGGCTTTGTGTATCGGGTGGGACATATTTCATGTCTGCTCCATGATTGGCTGGAGACGGGGAGTCACACATTGGGAAGAACAACAATATGGAGATTGGGGGCAGACACACTAACTTGTGAGTCAGGGGCAGGTACAGTAAAGGGGGAGGGTCATAGGCACTTAGGGGCAGGGAAAAAAATGGGAGTGGGTCTGCCATGGGTATACTAATGGGGGTGGAATAGAGGCAGGGGCCTAAATGGTAGTTGGCTAGAGGCTGTTACGCAATGGGGGAAGCTTGATGTAAGGACACTAATGGGGCGAGTTATCAGCAGAGACACCACCAGTGGAAGGGATGGATTAGATACAGTATTGGTGGGGTAGAAAGGCAAAGACCAACTGGGCAGATCACACAGTCAGTCCACACCAAATACCTGGCACACAGCCTGCACATTCATGCTCCTTATATTGGGACAGACTGTGAAACAGTCAGTGATTTTTCCATATTAAATATGAATGTATAAACTGAGGTAAAAATGTGTTACTATGTTTGTGTTGGAGAAAATTCTAAATCAGCTTTTTTTTTCTTTTTTTTTCCTAGTTTTTTTTTCCATTTAGATTTAATTGGTGAAATTTGTAAGTTTAGTGAATAATCCTGCCTATGACCAGGGCTCTAGGCAGGTAACCAATCTGAAATTGTCACGGCATGTTGATTGCCATGGTGGACAAGTAGATTGGGCTACCATTTTAATTGCCAAGACAAGTAAATGGTTTGGTTTTTTTACCCTTGCTACACCTGCTTTAGTGAGTTACCCTGTTAAAGTGGATTTTTCAATTTGGGATGTTCTCTGTAAAGATCCTGGAAGGTGACCTCCCTGCTTGATGTGCAGTGGTCTTAGGGGTACAGCAGAAGGGAGTTGAACTAACCTGAAGCTCTTCTCTGTGGGGGCCTCAATCTCTGTAGCTCTTGGCATTTCATTTGCCAAGATCTGCATCAGTGATATACTCTTGGACATGTGGGATTCTCCATAGACCAATTCTTGTGATGCCCAAGAAAAAGCATTTCCTTGATGTGGGACTTGATAAAAGCTGATGGGGTCTCTGCATAATTTACAAAGAGCCCTGAAGTTGAGTGCTCAGCATCTAGTTTGGTGGCCAAAGGGTGCAGGGGAAGGAGAGTTATATTTACCTGAACCTGTTTCGGCTGGTACTATCTTAATCAGCTGCCAGGAACTGATGTCAGTGTTGTACTCACACTAATAGTAGTAAGCATGAAGTAATATTTATTCTCACATATATTTTACAAATTTTAGATTGACATTTTTTTTTCTTTTCTTTCTCTACACAGATCAGGAATTGCGTAATGTCATTGACAAACTGGCTCAGTTCGTGGCTCGGAATGGACCTGAATTTGAGAATATGACTATGGAGAAGCAGAAAGACAACCCAAAATTTTCATTCCTTTTTGGAGGAGAATTCTACAACTACTACAAATGTAAACTTGCTCTGGAACAGCAGCAACGTATGTTCCATTCTGCTGTCAATATCACCAGCCAGTTAAATTATCAAAACTTTACATGGTGATATGTTAGGTTTATTTCTGTTTGTAATTTTGAGATATTATCAGGCAGCTTCCAGCCTCATAATAACAAACAATTACGACAACTCTGTTTACTGTCCGTGTAAAGTATAAAAATCCGTTTGTATAGTGCAGGGCTTCAAGGGACTCGCCATTAATTAAACTTAAATTAAATTAAGAAAATTAAAATCCCTGTTTAGTAAAAATATAACAAATTAAAACATGCATTCATTTAATTACACATTTTTAATTTGGGGACATTTCTGAAAACAGCTTGCAAAAGCTGCATATATCTTGCTTGAAGCATTTGCAAGCTCTCCTCTTCTAACACCGCCCTTTTAAATTTGAGGTCTGATGTTACTAATTACACCTTAAGTTACTCACCACTGGAACTCGTTTGCTTACGAGGGGTGAATTTGTACTCGTTAGTGCTAAATTTAAACTTGCTAGTGGCGTGTGGAGATTTTAATCCCTGGCGTAGTGCTTACATGATTGCAAGAAATTGGGTAACTCAAACAAAAACAAAAAAATATATATTTCTTTGATAATAATCTGTTGGGGACATATCCATTTTTAAGACTGAACTCTTTACTAAGACTTTAGCCTTGCTTAAACAATCTAAATAAGTAAATGGAGTCAACATGGGGAATTTATTTCTATATGATGTATAGTAGCTAAAAAGATCACTGTTTCTCCTAAATATTTCACAAACTAAGGCCCCATGCTCTGTTTAAGTTGGAGAAATTTCACCAGACCTGAGTTGCTGGCAATTCTCTCTCTCCTTCTCCTTCTTTTGGTTCAAGGCATTGTTTGTGAGAAATGCTGACAGCAAATGTGCCCTGCCATTCACATGGTTAAAGGAATGTATTAACATTAAAAATATATTATATTAAGAATTATTATTATGTAATATATTAACATTAATAATGTTATATTTAAGCTCTATTAAGTCGTCGTCCCCCGTTTTTTTTTTTTTTACATTTTTTTTATTTAAATGAAAAGGACAATTAAATTTACCTACAATCCAGTCCGAGCCTCTCTGCAGCTATTATGCCTTCTGTGAGAAGTTGTGATGACATCAATTCAATCTTCTCATACGGAAAATACAGGAAATTGCCCCAGTCAATCCAGTGCTGCTCCATGAGAAGCATTAAATCTAATACTACTTCATGAGAAACCTTGGACATTTAATGTGAAGAAATTTGATTTGAAAAAAATTTCTAAAATTGCAAGTATAATGGACCTTTGAAATGTTAATCAAAATTCAGGATATTTTGCTAAATTTTTATTCAGAGATGTCACAACTAATATAAAGTTAGTTTGCAGTTTAGGTTATTGGTGATGAGTTATGGTTATGTTGCCCTTTATATCCCATTAGGTTACTTGAAATGTGTTGGGGTAGAATTGTTCGGGTACCTTGCACCCGGTTCACACAGAGGTGTTAATACTTGCTGAAAAATCATTTGTGATGAGGAAAAAGAAGACTTCAAGAAAATGCAAGGGGAAAACTAAGAATAGCAGCATATTGAAAGCAAGAATACGTCACCAGAAAAAAACATAACCCAACTTATATAGAATTGTAGTCAGTCTTTATAGGCAACATTACCTTTTCCTTCACTTTTATCAGTCTCCCCTAATCCCGCCCTCTCTCTAGGTCTGTGTCTCTTTTAGACTATGCTGGATGTTTCCCGTCTTGTCGTGGGTTGGCCTGGACATTTTGTTCCTTTTGCTATGTCGGTCTCCTCAGCTTCTGCTGGGGTAGGTTTTATATTATATTAGGTTTCTTGTACTCAAGAGGAGGGGGCAAAGTTCTCCCTCCTTAGATCTCAACTGTCAGAGTGCACAATAAATCATACCATACCAGTACAACATAAAATAAACATTAAAAGGACACTATAGTCACCAGAACAACTACAGCTTATTACATTTGTTCTGGCGAGTAAAATCATTACCTTCAGGCTTTTTGTTGTAAACACTGTATTTTCAGAGAAAATGCAGTGTTTACATTACAGCCTAGTGATAACTTCACTGGCCACTCCTCAGATAGCTGTTAGAGATCCTTCCTGGGTTATGGCTGCCTAAAATGCATCCAAACATTCAGTGCCTCCTCCTTCTGCATGCAGACATTGAACTTTCCTCATAGAGATTCATTGATTTAATTCATCTCTATGAGGAGATGCTGATTGGCCAGGGCAGTGTTTGAATTGTGCTGGCTCTGCCCCGATCTGCCTCCTTGTCAGTCTCAGCCAATCAAAGGGGAAGCATTGTGATTGGATCAGGCTACCACTTCTGATGATGTCAGCAGACAGCTTGGTTTTCTGAGGCAAACAGCATGTGAAGCTACAGCTTCAGGTTTGAATACAAGTAAGATTTTGCTATATTTATGGAGGCATGAGGAGCCTAGGGCTGCTAGATGGTGGTTTTAACACTATAAGGTCAGGAATACATGTTTGTGTTCCTGACCCTATAGTGATCCTTTAAGATTCAGCCCTATAAAAGTGAAGCCTATGCTGCTCTGACCTACTTATCCTCACTAATACACAAATATGTCCCATCTAGGCCCCTACGCTCTGCCAGAGACCTACGTTTTAACCTCTGTTCGTACTCCTACCTCTGATGCTCGCCTTAAAGACTTCTCTACGGCTCCACCATTCCTATGACACGCCCTTCATCTCTCTGTTAGACTTTCACTCTCCAGTCCTTCAAAAAATCTTTGAAAACTTCTTTAGGAAAGCATATCAATTAAACTGGGAACAGCTTTCCCTCCCCGTGCCCTGATTTCTCTCCTGAAACTGTCATCAAAACAAAACACTAAGCCCTCAATGAATACTATCCTAGCAACCTAATTTTCTACCCTACCCTTACCTTTTGTGTCATATTACCCCACTCCCTCTAGGATGTAAGCTCATCGAGCAGGGCCCTGCTCTGTTCCTGTGTGTCCAACTCGTCTGGTTACAAATACTTGTCTGTTAGTCCACCCATTGTGCAATGCTACGGTACTTGTTTGCGCTTTCTAAATAATAATAAGTAACTGGCTTTCAAGGGGGTGTGTGTGGGTTTTATCTAAACATTGCTTTGTTTTTATACCCTATCAGGGCTGGTAAAGTTATTACGTGAGGCAGTCCTCCCTCCCTCTATATCTCACCATTGGGCCAGGCCTCTAATGTGGGTGTACCCAAGGTGACTTTGCATAATGTATAACAGAGTGGCTTTGTTCCCTTTGGAGGGTGCCTAGTCTCAAGTCACAGGGCTATATTTTGACTTTCTTTATTTTTGTAGTGCAGTGAATGACAAACAAGCTTGTAATGCCATATACACAAGATTATAATACGACCAGTAAAGGGGAGACGGGGGCCTCGGGCTAACGGGGTTCCCCACGGGTATGTCTCAACTTAGGGAGTAAGAACCGTCGCTCCCTCGCTTTCCCCCTCGGCTCCCCCTTCAGCTATCTCCCCCCTTTCCTACTTCTTACCTCTCCCCCTCTTCTTCCCTCTATCTTTTCATTTTCTCACCCCTAGATAAACCAAAAATGAGACAGTACTTGCCTGCAAAGAAAGGAGCAGAGGAAATGAGACCACTGCTAGCAGGAACAGACAAACAAAAAGAATTAAATGGCAAAGGAATGGGTGCGGCAACAAAAAACAAACATTTAAAGAAATCCAGGAGACTGGGTATAGGAACAGAATAAAGGAATGATCCCACAAAACCCAGCATACAGCAAACCAGACACAGAATAGAAAGCAGAAAAACTAAACAAGAATTGTAAAAAGAGTACTGGATATCAGAAGCCAAGGCCAGATATATCTGCAGAATTGAACGGAACGTGACACCTCCCCCCAGGTTTTTACTGGGAACGAAGGGGGGACATATAACTAATATGGAGTGTCTACAGCGGTATTCCTGACTATAGTGTCAGTAATACAGCTTAGTAAAAGCTAAACATTATTAAACAAGATTAAAATAAACTACTTGACTAAATTGTCACTTTAAGTTTGTTTTTTTTCTTTAAAGTGTCACATATTAAACTGCTGCTCAGGTAAAACTTGTCATACTAAATATAGGACATAGAAAGGTTGTCACTGCGATCTGCACACACTGTACTTAAAGATTGCTTGTTTCACTACTTTTGAGCCTTGTTCGAGATCCTTCCTGGGTTATGGCTGCCTAAAATGCATCCAAACATTCAGTGTCTCCTCCTTCTGCTGTTTCATGCTTTTGTTATCTCTCTGCCTAACTGTTTCTCCTCAGAATAGAGACAAGAACTAGAGGGATTGGCTGTTGCTATGTATAGTTTTGCTTTGGTTTGCAGTGCAAAATTAAACTTAGCTTGTGTATACATGATTGTGTGGGTTTAAAATTGAGCAGTGTGTGTTTTATGAAAAGTGACCTTGTAAAACAGATGCATGTTGTATCTTCCTGTCGAAGGTTTGCAGGTTTCATTATTTTTTTTTTTATAGGTTTATTTCTGAAAATAGCAACATTTTATTGTACATTGAAATTAAATTTGCAACTGCCAGAGACGTGTATTTTGCTTCTAATATGCATTCTCTTTTTATCACAGTTCTGTGCAAGCAGGCTCAGGACTTGGAGCCCAAAGCACAAATTGCCACCATCACTACTATACCCACCATCCCACCACCTACATTACCTCCACCTCCTACTCTTGTAGTACCACCACAGGGTGCCCCACCAATTGAGGATCTTATTCAGCAGAGCCAGTGGAATGTCCAACAGCAGGAACAGCAACTCCTCTCAATTAGACAGGTAGGAGAACAATTTCTCAAAGTATATGCAGTTTTCACCTGCTAATTTAAAGTCTCCCAGTAGATTATGATTTCAATCTTCTATATTGTCCGGTATAGGAGCAAATCACATCTGCAGTGGCACATGCAGCTGAACAACAGATGCAGAATCTTCGAGAAGAGACCCAACTTGATATGACTGAATTTGACAACTTGCTGCAGCCCATAATTGACACCTGCACAAAGGATGCAATATCTGTGAGTAGCTTTTGTTTTTACCATTTCCCTGACATACGTAAATTAAAAAATGTTTTGTTTTTTTTGTTGTTTTTTTTGTCTCTTGCACACTTGACTTTTTGTTTGGAGTCTAGCTAGAACAAGCATGTCAAACTCAAAGGCTAACACGGGCCAAATGAACAAGGTTTAAGTTCATGTGGGCTGCAAAAAACAATAACTACCATATAACTGACACTGGACTTCCATGCGTTCGTAGGGCTTCAAAGTAAACGAAAGAGTGAATTTATTTTAAGGAGATGTGCATTTGCATATAATCAATGTTTCAGTCCAACTACCTTGAAATATTGAAAAAAGTTTAATGAAATGGTGAATGTATGATGTTGCACAGCTTAAAAAAAAAAACAAAAAAAAAAACAACAAATGACATTATCTTGTTGATTTTGAAGTCCTATGAGTGTGTTCTTCACTTTGGCCGATCATCAAACTTGGTGATCTCAGACGATCGAATGCTTTCCCGTAGGAAAGCATTGGGAGACTATTGTGCATGTGTGGCTAATCAGCAACTCCACAGGGAACGTTCAGCTCCTCCATGCAGACCAAGTCTAATAAACTGCCCCTTCCCCCATTCTGATACTGTCCCCCCTAACTCCACTCTAATACACTGCCCCTTAATCTAACACGCTATCCCTCCTCCCTGCACTCTAATTGAATAAACTGCCCTCCCCCAATTTAATACACTGCCCTCCTCCCTTCCCAAATTTAATACACTGCCTTCCCCCAATGTAACACACTGCCCCCTCCCACCTCTCTAATACACTGCCACCCTCCTTCCCCCAAATTAATATATTTCCCTACCATCCTCCAGTTCCAGCTCTGCTCAAGCAGACCAGCCTCTCCTCTAGCACTGCGAGCAGGAGGGAAGGGGAAGTGGCTGGACTGCTCTGCAGACAGACAGCCACTCTGCTGTCTTGTGTCCATGGGAGGGAAGACAAGAAGCAGGCAGGACATATCTTTCCTGTCTTGCGGCTGGTCTCAGCCACAGTACAAAGCTGCCCAAGGGCAGGTGGGCCGCAAATATATTCATTGTGGGCCGCAATTTTGACCAGCATGAGCTAGAGCACAGTGTGTTTTCTAATCACCATTTTTTTTTTTGTCCATCCATGATTTCTAAATGAACTGGTGGATTGTTACTTTCTAACGTTCAACCTGTTAAACAGATTGCGACACGAATGCTTGTCTACATCAATGATGGCAAGATTTTTATGTAACAGTAGCAAGCTCCCAATGATCATGTTATTTTTTATTTCAGTTTTGTCTCACTTTGATTCCTATTACATTGTCACTTTTACAAACATCCAAGTTATATTCATTAGTCAGTTTAAATTACTCGTGCTAACTTTCAATGTCTACACTTAACATTGTGAAATTGCAAATTACTCTTCTCCTATATCAGTGCCAGTTACATAATATCTTTCTTTGTAAATATATGCTTAGGCTGGAAAGAACTGGATGTTCAGCAATGCAAAGTCTCCACAGCACTGTGAGCTAATGGCTGGACATCTCCGCAACCGCATCACAGCGGAAGGGGCACACTTTGAATTGCGATTACACCTAATCTATTTGACCAACGACGTGCTGCATCATTGGTAAGGAATTTCGAGATTTTCTGAAGTTATCGTAGACTAGTCATTTGTACAATGGGGCAGCTGCCACTCAAAACTTTATATTTTGTGAAACTGTTTTACTAAGAAGAATTTTGTCATTTTCAGGTATATTCTGGGATGCTCAGACAATGCTCAGATAATGCAGATAACATTCAGGTTTACACAATTAAAAGAAAACCAAAATAATCATTAGCAAGTTTGCTTGATAGGAGATACTTAAAGTAGGTCAAATCACCCCCACACACGATCAGTCTTCTATATACATACACACAAAAATGTTCACTAATGAATAAATATAATGCAAACATTATTTTGCTTTTGTATCACTGGATTAATATAAGTCTTAAAGGGACACTATAGTCCCCAGAACAACTACAACTTAATCTTGTTGTTATGGTGTCTACAGTCTATCTCTGTAGGTTTTTTAATGTAAACATTACCTTTTCACAGAATAGGAAGTGTTTACATTCCTGACTAGGAACACCTCTTGTGGCAGAACGCTCCCCATAGAGATGCATTGGTTCAATGCATCTCTATGAGCAGGTGCAGATTGGCCAGCATGGCCTGCCAATGCTTTTCTATAGGAAAGCATTGGATTGGGTGAGATCGTCAAGTTTGATCTCAGCCAAAAAGGCGTAGCGGGGCCAGCCATGACAACACTGGCGCGGTGCTGGAAGAAAGATGAGTAATATCTGTAGGCCTAAACTGTAGTTTTACAACTATAGTGTCAGGAATACATTTTCTTTTTAAGCATTGTTATATGTAACAATCTTTTTTTTAATTTTAATTAATTTATTTTCACTAGTCAGCGAAAACAGGCACGGGAGCTGCTAGCTGCCCTTCAGAAAGTTGTTGTTCCCATCTATTGTACCAGCTTCCTAGCAGTGGAGGAGGATAAGCAGCAGAAGATTGCACGGGTGAGTTAGCAAGTGTCAGTCTTAAAAAAAAAAACAAACAAAAAAAAAAATATTAAAAAAAAATTGTGACATGGTACTTTGATCTATATGATAATATGTATAAACCTTAAAAAAAAAAAAAACAGAACAAATGGGTCAAGAACTCATGAAATAATTACTCAATAAAGGTACAATTTTAGTAGTTAAATAGATATATTTGTGTTTCACTCAAGCTGCTTCAACTCTGGGAAAAAAATGGATACTTTGATGAAGCCACAATCCAGCAATTACAGAGCCCTGCACTTGGATTAGGACAGCATCAGGTAAGCCCTCACCAACAATTTTGTTTGCAAAAAATAACACAGTGACTCACTAGACAAATCTTTTTGCTGTGTGGTAGCCTATCAAGTGACCAAAGTGTTGTTGCCAAGACTTAGTCATTAGCCAAGGCTTAATGCAAGAGTGAAACAAGTGTGTTTTATTGGCGTGAATATCACTTTTTTATACCTGGGTCCACCGCAGGGGATCAGCAGGAGAACAATGACATTGTGCAATACCTGGAGCCTAAGTGTCCGTACCTGATGAGATAATTTTATTAATGACCAGACACCTCGGCGCCAAACAATATTTCACCCTGAAAACCTGGGTTCCTGTACCCATATCGCATCAGAGGTGTCTAGCCTGAGTAGTCTGGATGATAAATGATCATCCTCCAATCCGGCACAGTGTTCAATAGTGCTGGGTGGCAAGTCCTTGTCACTTTTGATGACACCGTTCATTGCAGGAACCTGAAGCTCCCTCCAGTTTTGGGTGTCGTTTGATGCCTTAACACCTCCTCTATCGCCCCTCCATATAGTGCCCTGTTTGATCCTTGGACTGAGAGCGACCTCAATAAAGTTTGACCAGATTGCTGCAATTCTGCAATCCAATCTGGTATAACAGGGGATTTCCAGGTTGTGCCTGGTCAGGTGCGCCGTTCCTCTGATTGTTTCCCGCTGGTCTCTGATGTCCTCTGCGCTGCTGGATAGGAGCATTGGACTAAGAGGCACAGTCTGGAGGTGGAATAAACATGTGATAATAGACCTTTTTGGGAGAAAGTACTGGCTGGGATCCATGTACAAGTCCTGAGTGTTGCAGCAGCTGTTGCATGCCGCAACCAGCTGCAAATCTAAAATACTTGACTATGGCAGCAAAAAACGAAATCTTCTTTACCTAAAATATTGAACAGTGTCCTGCATGAGATAATCATTTAATTATTGAGAGAAAGTTGTACCCACAAAAAATAAGTCAAACCTGGTTGGTATCCAAAGACGCAAGTTCCAAAGCTTACCCACAAAAAATAAGTCAAACCTGGTTGGTATCCAAAGACGCAAGTTCCAAAGCTTACCATTTCATATATATTATTTTGTCTTTATGTTGAGAGGTTTCCATCCACTCATAGTAAAAGAAAATAGTCTATCCTAAAATCAAAATGATCGAGAAACATTATAAAGCTTTTCTAGCAGTATCCCACAGAGAATGGAACAGTACTTTATGTCCTTATTGCACTCTTGATATTTTGAGCTCAAGATTGTTTGCAAGGATGCCTAAACAGGCCAATCAGAAGTGTAAACTGAGTAGAAAGAGACTTCCATAGACTGAAATAAATCCGCTTTGGGATTCACATTTAGACAGTTGCTTTCTGCGACCCCTGTTGTAATACAAAGACGTGGGGTACAATTGGATAAATAGGAGACTCAATAAAATTTCCATGTATTGGGTATAAAGGATATATTTATAAATGTCTGTCGCTTTTATCAAAACTTGTATATCAAGGTGACGGAAGTTTTTAGGTCAGGAGGACTAGATCTTGTGAATTAGATGTCCAATTTAATTCTGATACAGTCTATGGTTGACGTATTGTGCATGTCATTGGTGGGGTGTAGATAGTTTGAGGTCTAAATAGGAAAGCAGTCAGGCTTTAAACAATGAGAAAGGATGGACAATTATGAGATCGGGTTCAAGAATTTTGAGTCTATTGATAGGCTTGGACATCTTAGGAGAGTACCATAAAATGTTGAAGACAGTCGGGCATTTTCTAGATATTAGCTATGTTTTTTGGGGGGAATTTTAAAGTAATAAACCTACCATATAGTTTTTTTAGCATTCTGCAGTGACTTACTTGTGTCCTGTCTCCTGTTTCTTGTTCCTGTGCTTAGGCTGCTTTATTAGCTGAATATTCAAATGTGGTTCAGCCTATACTTGTAGCCTTCCAGCAGCAGATCCAAACCTTAAAGACCCAACAGGAAGAGTTTGTGGCTGGACTGAAACAGCAGCAGCAACAAATCCAGATTGCTGTAATGGAGCCTATTCCAGAGCCCCCCGCTCCACCACCAGCCCCCGTCCCTGCTCCTGCCCCTGCTCAAGTGGCGCCTCCAGGTAATGGATGCCTACTTTTTCAATCTGGAATTTTCTCCTGTTTTATTTATTTATTTATTTTTCCAATTTTTGTTACTCATATTCCTGTCACTTACAGAGGAAGTGCAACCTGCCATAACTCCAGCTGAATTTGAATCTCCTCCTCCTGGCAATGTACAAGATCCCACTACTGGAGGGACTCGAGGCCCAGCTCCCCATGAGCAGATCCCTCCTAACAAACCACCTTGGTTTGAGCAGCCACAGCCCATTGCGCCCTGGGGTCAACAACAGGTAATGTTAGCTAAACAGCACTTCTTAGTCTAAGTTTGACCTCAAACTCAGTGAAGTGGTCTGGGTGCTATGTCCCTGTCTGTTCAAGTCTGCAATGTAAAACATTGCAGGGTTTAAATGCCTCTAGTGGCTGTTATATTTAGAGCACTAGTGGAGCTTCCACATAGGATAGCAAAGTTCAGCTCTACGAGACAATCTGATTGGCGCAGCATGGTCACACATGTACACTAGCCTCCAAATGCTTTCCTATGGAAAGCGTTGGATTGGCCGAGGTCATTGATATCTATTACCTCAGCCAAGGAGGCGGGACTGAAGCGCAGAGGATGGTACTGCAAGGGAGAAAGGGTAAGTTAAAAATGCCATTTCTACTCCTTATGTGGGAGGGAGTGGGGCCGGGACCTAAAACTGACAAGGATCTATAGCATTAGGAATCCTTAAATATATTCCTAGCACTATGGTGTTATTTTAAGAATGTAAAAGAATACAAATGCAGAAATGCATTTCTCTTTATGGTTAAAAAACTGAAATATGTTTGTTTCATTTGGATGATTTATAAGCAATACTATCTCAATCGTGGAAATCTTGAAAAAAGTTAAGACTTTGTTTTTATTATCAATCTACTAATAAGATATATATCATATAGAACAGTATGGGAGAGGTGTGAATTATATGCAAGTAGAATACAAATATTAAAGGGACACTATAGTCACCAGAACAAATACAGCTTATTGTATTATGGTTAAACAAGTCCATTCAGCCCTTTTCCAGTAAACATTGTCTTTTCAGAGAAAAAGCAGTCTTTACATTGCACCTTAGGGATCCCCCCAGTGGCCACAACACAGATGGCTACTAAAGGTGCTTCCTAGGGCTGTGCTGCACTACCGCTCAGCATCTCTATGCTCTGCAAAGAGACGTGAAACTTTCCTAATAGAGATGCATTGATTCCTGAACCTATATCAGTGGTTCCCTGCCAAGTCCTCAAGTACCCCCTAACAGTCCAGGATTTAGGGAATCCCAAGTTGTGTCTAAGGTGTTTTCCTTAAATCCTGACTGTACTTGAGGACTGGGTTGGGAACCCCTGCCTTATAGCATTCCTTTATCATTTGATGTTAACTACATATTTATTTAATACATGTATATATTTAGTCGTAGGTGTAGGAATATAAAGGAAAAACTGTTGTAAACATAACATTTAAAAGCAGATAAGTGAATATTTAAGTTGGTGTAGCTAGTCTAATGTGACCTCAAGTAGTCCATAAAATAATGCTAAAAACTCAGATTTCAACAGGGGTCCACTACCAGTGAAACCTTTTTCCCCTGGAGGCAAAGATTCATGCCAATATAACTGGCATAAGATACCCACTGAACATAAACTTTATCTGCATTTTCTTAATAGTGGGTGTTCAGACATGGGAACTTAGATGTGGGTGAGTGTGTATTGATCAGTTAGTGAAGGATGAAGAACAAGTGGCAAATATCCTCAAGGGAAGTAGACATTATTTTTAAAGACCACTTCAGGTGGGCATACATTTAATGTGTTTTCATTTTTTTATGCAGTCGTGTGAACAACCACCTTTTCCTCACCATCCAGCTCCACCTCACTGCCCACCATGGAATAATAGCCATGAAGGCATGTGGAACGAGCAACGGGATCCAAATTGGAACAATGAACCTGAACCAGCATGGAACAGTCAACGAGAACCACCCTGGAACAATCAGTTTGATGCTCCTTGGAGCAATCAGCATGAACAGCCGCCCTGGGGTGGTGGAGGGGCCCAAAGAGATCCTCACTTTAGAATGCAGCGTCCACCTCATTTCCGAGGACCTTTCCCACCTCATCAACAACATCCACCTCAATTTAATCAGCCTCCTCATCCCCATAACTTCAATCGTTTCCCACCACGTTTTATGCAGGAAGACTTTCCTCCTCGACATCCATTTGAGAGACCACCGTTCCCTCATCGATTTGATTATCCTCAGGGTGAATTCCCTGCAGGTAAGATAAAAACCTCTGTATTGTTACATAAATGTTTTTTTGTTTTTTGTTTTTATTATAAATGGCATACATTTCTCATTAGCCTGAAGTTATAATGCAGGCATAAAGATTGTAGATTTTTATACTAAAGCTGGAGTGTTTCATTAAAATAATACCAAGTGAGTTAATTGTTAAAATGCTTGATTAATATGAATGGTGCTCATGTACCTGTAGTAAGGTATAGCTTGTGCCTGCAGTAAGGTACTATGTAGCTTAAAGGGACACTATAGTCACCAAAACAACTTTAGCTTATTGAAGCAGTTTTGGTGTATAGATCATTTCCCTGCAGTGTCACTGCTCAATTCTCTGCCATTTAGGAGTTAAATCACTTTATTCATGCACCCTAGTCACACCTCCCCGCATGTGACTTGTACAGCCTTCCTAAACACTTCCTGTAAAGAGTCAGCTAATGTTTACACTTCCTTCATTGCAAATTCTATTTAATTTAAAATGTATTATCCCCTGCACTGTTGATAGCTAGCTAGACCCCACAGAAGCATTCTGTGTATGATTAAAGTTCACTTTAGAGAGCAGGCAATAATAACTTTCAAAGTTAGTTACATCTAATTGAAAGTTAAACCATTTTTTTTTTCTATTTTCATGCATGGTGTGTGCGTCACAGCCAGGGGAGGTGTGACTGGGGCTGCATGGACAGAAACAAAAGGGATTAAACTCCTAAATTGCAAAGATTTGAGCAGTGAGACTGCAGGATCATGATCTATACACTAAAACGGCTTCCTTAAGCTAATGTTGTTTTGGTGACTATAGTGTCCCTTTAAGGAAAAACTTGCAACAAATATATGAAGCAATTATGCTCCCACATATATTAGAATGGAATATTTATAACCATGGAGATAACATGTGGATAGAGCAGGAACAAACCTCCAGTAATCTCTCTGACCTTAAATTATTATACTGGGTTGATATCCTGACATTTAACAAATTAAAAATAAAGTAATTGTTGATATTTTTTTCTAATATGCAAATGTTTAAAAGAAAATGAAGGATTAATGAACAACTTACAAAATCACCAATAGCAATATTGCAGATGTATTTTGAGGATATCAGTAAAAGAAAAATGGAAGGAGAACGGTCTGGTAAGATTAGCTGATATATTAAATACAGATCTGCATATAAAATCGTTTCAACAGATTCTTACAAAAATAAAAGGGTTTGATAAAGAACAATTTTCATATTTTAGAATCAAATGCTTCATACAAACTAACCTAATTAATAATACTTCAGATATAAATTGTTGGAAATAGAATATAAATGGAATATGGTCTCAAAAATAAAGTTATACATAAAAGGTACAATAAGGATAAAATTAAATCAATGTTGAAATGGAAAATTAGGTTGTGAGTTCTCATTGGATCAGTGGTTGGAATCGTTTTTTTTCTGCTTAAGAAGGCGATACATTGCATACGTTTATATGAACTACAGATTAAATTAGTTCATAGGTGGTATATGGTTCCAGCAAAAGTAGCAAGATTTCACTCCCTTACTGACTCAGTTTGTTGGAGATGTCTCAGCAACAAGGGAACACAGAAACATATTTGGCGGGATTGTTAAATTCTTAACATGTTGAAGAAGCAAGCAGTATCTAGGAAAACAAACGTTTTTAGAATGACATTAATTAACATTTCTCCTCAATTGTTTTTGTTACATATGGAAATAACTACCAAAAATAAATCTTTAAAACTCCTAATTGTATATATATTAATGACAACTAAAATCTGCATAGCGAGGTATTGGAAATCAGTAAATATTCCTTCATGGAGAGAGGTGGAATCCAAGATAGGATATCCGTAACAAATGGAGAAACCCAGAATTATTAGAGATAATTTATTGGATAAATACATTTCTGATGGTAAAAAAAAAAAGAAAAAACTTGATGCATAGTAGCATATAGCAACAAATATTTACATTATTATTGAGACAAAGGTAACAAGATGTAGGATATTGATTTGTGCAGTATTACAAAAAGTTGAATGATTCTTGAGAGAAAATGTAAGTAATTGTCATGTCTTTTATCTCTAGACATGGGCCCACCCCACCACCACCAGGGCCACAGGATGCCACATCCCAATATGAATGAACATCCACCATGGGGAGGACCGCAGCACCAAGATTTTGGTCCACCACCACATGGATTTAATGGACAACCACCTCACATGCGCAGGCAGGGTCCTCCACATGTCAATCATGATGACCCTAGCTTGGTGCCCAATGTGCCCTATTTTGATCTACCTGCTGGGCTAATGGCCCCTCTTGTGAAGGTAGGTAGTATTTCTTGCTTTATGTGATATTGTTGCAAACGCTGCAGGAGCCAACACTGTTATATTATTTCTTTTTCTTTTTGGCTCGAGTCAATAACTTTCTGTCCGAGCTTGAAATGAATTACATGTAGCGGCGTAGAGAATTAACCTCTACATAATTGATTAATACCTTGGTAAAAGGTCCAATAATCTCTACTACCTTTTGCAGCTGGAAGACCATGAATACAAACCTCTTGATCCCAAGGATATCCGCCTTCCTCCTCCAATGCCCCCAAGTGACAGACTTTTAGCTGCTGTTGAGGCATTTTACAGCCCCCCCTCTCATGACAGACCCCGAAACAGGTTGGTGTCTGGCAATTTGCCATGGAATTGTTTATAGATGTCGTTTTTTTTCCCTTTGCAATGCACATCTTTATAGGGTTTGGTCACAAGTGGAGTACTGACTATAATATTGGTGCATTAGAAGAATTTACCCATTGTATCTATTTTCAAGCCTAGCGTCACTTGTATTTTAAAAACATAAAATGATGATGACTACTTAAAGGGATACTATAGTCACCAAAACAACTTTGGCTTAATGAAGCAGTTTTTGTGTACGTCTCATGCCTTTGCAATCTCACTGCTTAATTCCCTGCCATTTAGGAGTTAAAATCACTTTTGTTTTAGTTTATGCACCCTAGCCACACCTCCCATGGCTATGACTGACACAGTCTCAATGAAATAAAATGGTTTAATTTTCAATCAAATGTAACTTATTTTAGAAAATCGTTATCTCCTGCTCTGTAAAGTAAACTTTATTTACATACAGGGGGCTCCTGCAGGGTCTTGCATTCTATTAACAAAGAAGGAGATAATATATTCTAAATTAAACAGCATTGGCAGTAAAGGAAGGGTTAAACATTAGATGAGGCTGTGTAAGTCACATGCAGGGAGGTGTGCTAAGAGCTGCATAACCAAAGTTATTTAACTCCTAAATGACAGGGAATTGAGCGGTGAGACTGCAGGGGCATGATCTGTGCATCAAAACTGTTTCATTAAGTTAAAGTTGTATTGGTGACTATGGTGTCCCTTTTAAATTTAAAGTGGCCTGAAGAAAATGGTCTATGAAGTTTATCATTACTTTGTTTTTAACACAAAGTGACATTAAGTACCCTTACAATTTTATACACCAAAATTTTTGTTCTGATCAATCACCACAGTACAATATTTTTTTGTTTTCCATTTTGATTGTAACATAAAATATATATTGATTTAGTTTGCTGGATTATATTAAAAGAGCCCAGATTAAGTCTTTCTACTTTCTCAATAAGAATCTAAATACATGTGCTTGTTGGTTCTTTTGTTGTGTGTTCTTAATAGAAATAAATACAAAATTGAAAATATGCATCTCCAATAAAGCATGCCTGTATTGATGACATCAGTATTGCTGAAAAAGGTTTGCACTGTACTTCTTGTTAGCTTTTCTCCAACTTGTTGCAAAATCATTGCTTAATATAGTTTATTGGCTGTTTTTTTTTTTTGTTTTTTTTTTTCGTTTAATAAAATACTGCTTGTTTTATGAGAAGTCATTTAATTAGTAGTCCATTACAGCAAACTATGTACCTATTTTGGTAATGTTTGTAAAGGATGTTCCACTTTTTTTTTTTTTTTTTTTGGTCTTTCACAGTGAGGGCTGGGAGCAGAATGGTCTGTATGAATTTTTCCGAGCTAAAATGAGGGCCCGTCGGAGGAAAGGACAGGACAAAAGAAACAGGTAACAAACACCAAAGTGAAGCAAAAGGTCACAAATTTGTTCCCTTACTGTTGGAACTCCACTATCTGATTTGCTTGTTCATCATACTAGCTCATCTGTTAAAACTGATGCAACCACTTTTTACCTATTTGTGTTTTACAGTCGGCAGTCAAGATCACAAAGCCGATCTAAAAGTCGTGGCCAGTCTTCATCTCGTTCCAATTCACGATCTTCCAAGTCATCACGGTCCTATTCCGGATCTCGTTCTGGCTCCCGCTCCCGCTCCAGATCCTACTCTAGGTCTAGATCAAGGTAAATTATTAAAAATTTTCAAAAGAATAGCAAAATCAAAAGGTACTCTGTAGGTACCATTCATTTGCATTGGACTATTATATATTTCTATACTTAAATATTTTGATATTGTGATCTATCATAAATATATTTTATTCATCGCATGAGCGCTTTCTGCGTGGCTAACTCATTGGCTGAGAGTGTCCGCTCTTTGATTACAGCCAGTGAGGCCAATCAGTAGCTCCCCATTCATAAAAATATATCATCCCCTGCCCGTTGACATTCTGAGCTTCCTGTTACTCAGATTCAAAAGCCAGATGCCGCCTGCTGTACCTGGAGATCGGCGCAGAATGCATCCTTTGGGGTACAATTTAACCCCTTTAGATAAGTGTGTGCATGGGGACCTCCTGATACCATAACAAACTTCATTTCGATTAAGTTATGATGCCCATGGTGTTCTTATAAAAAGTTGAGTGAGGTCATTAGCCAAATGCAAAGGTACTTCAGTTGAGTGGGAAACTGAAGAACTGAAACCATTTGGTTAAGATTGGGGTAAACCATAAACTGAAAATTCTGTCAAAATGGGTCATGGAGACTCCTGTAGTGTTGTGACTACTTATATAATTGCAGTCTAGGGAAGGGGGTTCATAATCTTCTGTCTCCTCTGATCTGCCATCTTCTCCAGCCTTATCGTGAGCTTATGGCCTGAACTTGCATCACTGAATGCTTGGGTATAAAATGAAGCTTTGTGATAGATCCTACAAGATGCTGTAGAAATCTTTTGCACTTGAGGTGAGAACAACTGCTGATGGTAAATAGCAAGATGTGGTAGTGGAAGCTGCTTAAAGTTTGATATTTTACTAAAAATTGTCTTGTCATAAGTCAAAGTATAACTTACTTTGATTTGTAATGACTTCTAATTGCATTTGGGATATCAATGAAATTAAAGTTTTTTTTTTATTTTTTTTATTTTTTTTTCAAAAACATTCTACAAGAAAAATTAAAGCATGATTTCGCACCACAACTTCGTCCATTTGTTGAATGCTCCTGGCTTGGCACTTTTCCAGGGCCGCCTTCTTATCTGCTAGAGTCCTTCAGTCTTTGTTGATATATTTGAAAACATACTAGTCCACCAGGGGTATATAAATAATAAATTCATCAGAATTCTGATTCTTTTATCTTTTTCAGGAGTGGAAGTCGGTCTCGCTCTTCTCGCAGCAGGTCAAGGTCAAGATCCAGATCTAAATCTTTCTCACCTAGTAGGCGACCTAGATCTAGATCTCGCAGTGCCACTCCTCCGTAAGTATCAAAATTATTGTAACTTAAACTTTTGTACTTCTAGTACTCTGTAGATTGTATTTGTGTCTGCAGTTAGAAGCCATAATATTTTAATACATCTTAAATCCTTTTGTGTACTCTTATGTGCTGTTTTTTCATTTAGTTTTAATTAAATAAACCTACTGCTGTTGGATGAACCATCCATTTGTAACACCTTTAGTAACTGCTCAATCTCTCATTAGTTCCTCTTCAGGTTTGGGTTCTGGATCAGGAGCACCTTTGCCCACTATCCGTCTAGGAGAGGAGAACAAAGGCCACCAAATGCTAGTTAAAATGGGTAAGTTATATGAATCGTTTTAACCTTTTCAGTGCCATTAATATTAAGCACAGTTATTCACAAGAAGTTAAATTGCGGAGAGTCGACAACAAATTGCAAATGTTGGCCCAACGTAACCAAGCTTAAAAAATAAATAGCTGGGTTGTTTGTTTCTCCCAATTAACAATTTTTCCCTAAATATTGCAAGTTCTTTTTCCATCATTTTCAGTTCAGGGAATGAATCTACATGCGTCTTCTTACAGGTCTAGTTTTGAAACGTCCCTTATTGCACAGTTTGTTTAAAGGTTGTGTTCCATAACAATTATCATTTTATTGCCCCACGTTGTTAGAGGGATCTTCCAGGGTACCCTTTTTATTGTAAAAAGTTAAGTAGATTAACCCGTTGCTTATCTAGAATCCAGCGCAGAAACAGCATCTTCTCTGCAGCCTGCTCCTCTGCTGATGTCATCAGGCTTGTCCAATCCAATGCTTCTCATAAAGAAGCATTGTGAACTTAATGTGCATGCGCTGCAATTGCCAAAACACACCAACTAAATGCTTCTTATAGAGAACCTTGAAATCTAATGCTCCCCTCTGAGAAGCAGCAGGGAGCTTTCAACGACTTCATGAAATGCATGAGAATGTTAAAAATGTAGTCTGACTTGGTTCTCACTGCAGAAGCACCATCTAGTGGCTGTTTGTGTAACAGCCACTAGAGGTGTGTTTAGCCCCGCAATCTAAACATTGCCAAATCTCCAAATGGCAATGTTTACATTTGTGGAAGCAAAACGCTAGGGGCAGTGCACACAGACCATTTCATTGCTATGAACTGGTTCGGTTGCCTGTAGTGTCCCTTTAATTGGGAATCTCTTTTCTCCTGCAATTATAATAGCATGCTAAAGCTTGCAGTTGCCTCCCATGTATGATTTAAAGTTCAACTAACAGAATTGTCGATAATAACTTCTAAATTACACTGAAAATTAAATGGTTTGTTTTTCAAGGAGGCAGTGTCTGTCACATCTAGGGGATGTGACTATGTTGCAAATCCACTTCATTCACATAAGGTGGTTTTAGTGATTATTGTGTCCCTTTAACCTAAAGATAAACATTTTCATATTTAATAAATTCTGAGCATTTTGTGCCCATTTGGAAATTTCCCAGTCCACAAACTATGCCCATATACCTATATAAGCAGCATAGACAGTTCATGTCATATATCATTCAGAAACTGTACCAGTAAATTTACAGAATAATGAGGCTGGCACCAAATTGCACCAGATTTGCTATTCACCTCTCTAGCAACTAGCAGTACTATTGTAAAGTTGTTTGTTGGTGACTTACTTTAAGTAGTATGTGTTTTTTTTGTGTGTTTTTTTTTTTAGATTTATTACAAATTAGGTTGCAACAGCGTAAATTAGGAAAATGATAATGGTAGAATGCTAGCCTTTTATTTTCTCGATATCTTGCTGAAGTTGGAAATACAGAATGAGGGAATTTGCAAGTGTATTCACAAAGACCTGGAGGCACCAGAACTTACTTTAAGGAACTGCTAATTCAGAGTGTGCATTTATCTAATATTTAGACAAAGGCCTATGTCCTCCATGTACTATTTTGAATAATTCATAATTTACATCAAGTCTTTTATAGAGCAGTTTGTTAATTTTCAGTACTATGAATTGAATACTTAATATATTTTCATGTCCCTGTTTTTCTAAACTGTGAATTCTAAATTGTCTTTTTTTTTTTTTTTTTCCTAATGCAGGGTGGAGTGGCGCAGGGGGACTTGGTGCAAATGAGCAGGGAATCCAAGACCCTATAAAAGGCGGAGACATCCGTGACAAGTGGGACCAGTACAAGGGAGTAGGGGTATCCCTGGATGACCCTTATGAAAATTACCGCAGAAACAAAAGTTACTCCTTTATCGCCCGTATGAAAGCAAGGGATGAGAGTGAGTGTTGAAAAGAAGAGAAGCATCTCCCAGATTTATTTCATGATGACCAGAGACCCCGCCAATATATAGATAGATATCGTTGCAACCTTCCTATAACTGACTTACCGGCTGGTAGAATTCAGTAAACCTTTGTGGTAGCTCAGCTCAAAGGTTTTTATAGAGGTTTCAGTTTGATAGAATTGATTGACCTAAAGAGACTTGTGTTAGGAAAATATACATTTGTGACTGGTTTTTCTAACTTTTTTTCTCCTTCTTTCTGATGCAGATTTTAAAGCAGGTGGGCCATTTCCCCCAGGTGCAGCTCCCCCAGGCAATAGTAAGTATCCTGTATTCACTTAATCTTTAGTTTTCTATTTCCTCAAAACTGTGTTGTCTCAGCCACGTAGTGACAGAAATTCATTAGCCCTCTTATTCAGCTAATTTCTGCTGTTCATCCCCACCCCCAATATAGCTGTGGGGGCTATAATAAATCTTGATGTGACCGTCCAAACCCCCTTAATTTCTATTTTGCAAAAGTGCATATTTCAATTAGCCTAGGTACACCATCCACAGCTTTCAATCAGAAAACAGGTCCTTGTTGTGTAGTCCAGTGGAACTAAACTAAACTCAGTAGGTAGGAAATGGGCCAGAGCACCTACCTTGCACAGATTAATCATTGGGAAGTCTATAATTGGACAGCCACAGAAAGTCTGGACAGGGTTAGAAGCAAATGGCTTGCAAAAGCTTCCACCCAGACACTGTTTTTAGTTAACCCTCCAATGAAAACAAAATGCATAATTAAATGCATGCATGTTTTCATTGGATGTATATTGGATGAACAACAATTCTTATTGTTATTTCTATTTATTTAGGCAGAGGAGTATCCCTTTAATATGAGTTTTAGTTTAGAATAGGTTACCTTTTCTATTTTCTGGTAAATATCAAAAAATGTTAATCAAATTGAATTCCCAATATTTTTTTATGGAGTCGTAACAAAGGCTAGCCATGGAATAGCAATGCTCACTTTTTTTTTCTTCATTTATTTTAAATGAGGAATATTTTGTGTCTGCAAACATGTATTCTGTATTTTCCTAATCAAACTTACATCTAACTAATGATCCGTAAACCTTCCCAGGAGACCTCCATTTAACCCCAATGACATATTGAATTTACTAAATGAGGAAATTTTTAAAAATTAATTCAAGCTCTGATTTCCTGTGTTTGAAATCCACAAAAATAACTGTTTGAATAACGTATTTTTTTTTTTTTTTTAGTGAAACGAGAGGGACCAGAACCTCCTGCTCAGGAATGAAACAACCCAATACTTAAAATCTGAACTTTTTTTGTTTTGTGTGTTTTTACCCATCTGATTATTCATGGAGCAAGGATTATTAGGGAGGGGAGGGATTTTTAGGAATTGCCAAACCCTTGATTTCTTGAATGTGTCTCCATGTCAACAATAAAAATTTAAAAGGTAATCATTTCATCTTCAGCAAGCTCTGGGAAGATTAATATTCTGAATTCAAGTAAATTTGCTGGCCTCCTATACATACTCATGCAGAAAGGAAGGTGAACTCATGGCAAAGATTCTACAGATTGTTTGGGAGAAACAACCTACAATGTGGAAAGCAGCTGTTCTTTGTAATCTGCAGGATTAGTTTACCAGCAATAACTCAACCGAACCCAAGGCAGTGGATTTCCAAGCTCCTCTACAAAACACACTTTTTTTTTAATTTAAGCTATATTGAAAGACAACAATTAGTTGAGAAGCCCTATTTTAAAGGGTAAACTATACAGTTCTCATTGTTTCCAGTAAAAGCGCTGTTCTTAATGATTTATAATATTTGGAATCTGTGATGTAGGTGAGAACATTTAAGCTGTTCCGCTCGTAGCTGTATCTGTGACTAGCTTGCAGGTTAAAAGGTTTGATAGTACAGCTTTTGTATGTGAGCATCCTTCCTTTCACACAATCTCTTTTGTAAAGTAAAGTGGTTATCACTATTTTTGTGTCCATGTTTTTTTTAAATGTATTTATTTTTTACTATGCACCCAAAGGCAATTGTTTTATAGAAATAATGTGTTTAATATTATTTATTTTTAAGTGTATCTTTTTAAATAGCCCAACACATGCTTTATATTATAGTAACATTCCAAGCACCATGGCTCACTGTTGTGGTTATGGTGCCAAGAGTACACTAGATCACGCCCAGGGCTGCACTGGAATGAAAAGCCGCCCTGGAAAATAATTCTATACCAGCCCCATAATGCATTGCGCCAGCTTAGTGTGCAGATATGGAGGGGGGAGGGGGGGAACCTTTAAAACAAGAAAGCACTCATAGGGATTCAATATAAACAAGAGTGGATTTATTGTAAGCAGATGTGCATTTGCAAATCAATGTTTCAGTCCAACTAACTTGACATATTAAGAAAAGTTTGGTAATTGGACTGAAATTGTGAATGTATGCTATTGCACAGCAGTAAAAAAAAAAAAAAGAAACAAAGACATTATCTTGTTTATTTTGAAGTAATAAGAGTGTGCTCTTCACTTTGGATGATCTCAGTCAACACCAATTCAATTCCCATAGGAAAGCATTGGGAGGCTATTGCGCTTGTGTGGCAAAATGCTCCATTTCATTGCACCAGCATCTCCTCAGAGCAAAGCATTGCATTAATGCATCTCTAAGGGGAGCATTCAGCACCTTAATGCAGAGCGTGGAGATGTTCATCATACGGGTTGCACACTGCAGCAGTGGACTAGGCAGCAGCTCTAGTGGCCGTCTGACTGCCACTAGAGATGTTCCTAGGCAGCAATGTAAACACTGTTTTTTCTCTGAAAAAGTAGCATTTACAGAGCTCAGCCTACAGGGACAGGCTATAGCCACCAGAAATACATTACACTGTAGTAGTTCTGGTGACTATAGTGTCCCTTTAATACAATGTCTTTCTCTCACCGGTCGACTGAGTAACGGAGAGCCGGAGACGCAAGTGAAGATGCATTTTGTTTGTGTCTTTCTCCCCCACGCCCTTTCTTAGCCTCAGCCCCTTTGTCTCTTTCTCCCCTTCCCCAGCCCTTCTGTGAGTCTTTCCCAGGCCCCAGAACATCTGTGTGTCTCTTTCCACACAGCTCGTCTCTTTCCTTAGCCTAGCTGTGTGTCTCTTGTTCATCTTCCTCAGCTCCTCTGTCTCTTATTGTCCTTTCCTTGCCCCGGTGTCTTTGTCCCCACATCCCTCAGTGTCTTTTTTTTTTTTTTCTCCCTAGTCTAACATGTCTCATTACCCCCAAGCCCTCCATGTGTCTCATTCCACTCCCTCCAGCTTTACATGTGTATCAATACCACCCCCACTCCTCCATGCTTCTCAATCCATCCCCCCAGACCATCATGTGTCTCAATCAACATCCCAGCCCTCTACGTGTCCCTATAGCCCCCCTCCCAGTCCTCCATGTGTCTCATTACCCCCACCCAAAGCTCCATGTGTCTCATTGAACCACGTCCAGCCTTACATGTGTCTCATTAGCCCCCAAGCCCGCCATGTGTCTCAGACCATCCCCCCAGACTGCCATGTGCCTTATTTGCTCCCTCAGTCCCTCCATAGGTTCTCAATAGCCTCCCCACCCTGCCCTTCATGTGTCTCATTGGCCTCCTCAGCCCCTCCATGTGTCTCAATCCATCCCCACCAGCCCACCATGTGTCCTATTAGTCCTCCCTCTCAGCCCTCCATGTGTCCCATTAGCATCTTCCCAGCCCTGTATATGTCTCAGTAGCCACCCCATGAGTCCCATTAGCCCCCAGCCCTCCCACCAAGTGTCCCTATAGTCTCCAGCCCTCCATGTGTCTCTATAGCTCTCCAAGCCCCCCTGTGACCCATTAGCTTCCTCTCTTACCCCTCCACAGACCAGGTAGGGAGAACAGAAGCTAGTCTGCTTGTTCGGCCAGGCTACATAGTGACCAGCAGGAGGGGAGCGCATTCCCTTCTGATGGTTACCCTGTAATTGCACTGTGCGGCCTGCAGGCTGGTGCGCAGTAGGTGGCCGTTCCCGCCCGATAGTATGACGGCCAATTGCGGCCCTGACCACGCCTCCCTTCCCATGTGAATTGTCAAACCATTTTCTCAGTAGTTTGACTTTTTACCTAGTTATCTGCTAGACACCGTTCACTGCCAACCCCACTAATACTGAAGCCAGAAGCTCATACGCACTGTGAGGTTTGGCTCAGGACTTGTGGCCCCCAGAGAAGAAGTCAAACCATTTTAAAAAAACTGTTTGACTGCTTACAATGGGCTCAGCTTGCCTCTGTAAAATTGTCAAACGGAGCTCCAAGGAACTTCCAGCAGCATTTCCACTCAGCAATCTGTAGTGGTTATGGTGCTTGGGGAGTTCCTTTAACCCAAATGTGGTTTCCAAAAGTTGTTTTTATCAGAAAAGAGAACTTTAGACCACTAAGCAACAGACTAGGTCTGTTTTTCTTTAGCCCACGTAAGATGCTTCTGATGTTTTGTTGTTCAGTAACGGCTTGACAAGGGGAACATGACATCTGAAGCCCATGTCCAGGATCCATCTGTGTGTGGTGGCTGTTGATGCACTGACTCCAATCTCAGTCCACTCCTTGGGAAAGTCCCCAACACTTTTGAATGGCCTTTTCCTGACAATTCTCTCCCTGCTGCTTGTGCACCTTTTTCTTCCACACTCTTCCCTTCCACATAATTTTCTATTAATGTGCTTTGATACAGAACTTTGGGATCATCTAACTTCTTTCGCAATTACCTTTTGGGACTTTCCCTCCTTATGGAGGGCGTCAATGATGGTTTTCTGCACAACTGCCAGGTCAGCAGTCTTCCCCATGATTGTGATTCCTACTGAAACCAGACAAAGACCATTTAAAGGCTCAGAAACCCTGTGCAGGTGTTATGGCTTACTTAGCTGATTAGAGTGGGACACACTGAGCCTAGAATATTGCACTTTTTCACAATATTCTAATTTACGGAGATTGTGGACTTGGGATTTTCATGAGCTGTAAGCCATAATCATCGCACTTATGACAAATCATGGCTTGAACTATCTTGCTTTGCATGTAATGTGTCTATCTCATATTAGTTTACCCTTTTATGTTGCATTACTGAAATAAATGAACTTTTGCACGATATTCTAATTTTTCGAGTACCACCTCTACATTTAAAACTAAACAATTACCTTACACACACACTGCAACCACATTAGGCACAGGGTGACAAACATAGGAGTCATCCATGGATCTAATTTAAGTGTCCATATTACGATCCCAGTGATGAGGACTACCGTCACACCCACCAATGCACAGCTAGAAACATTCAAGTATACAGCAAGTGCTTAATACATTAGTATCGTGGGATATCGAAAGTATGTGTTCGTTATGTTACTTTTGTGTGCCTCTAAGGTACACTCAGCTCTAGCTCTACCTCTATATGGTAAGTAGAAGCAAAAATACTTGTATTATGTATAGCCAGACTTGCATATGAGGTTACACCTTCTTGTGTTGTGTAGTTAAGATTAGACATGTGCAATTCGTTTCGGTCCAAATGTGAATTCGGACAAATTTCGGGTACTGCTGAATTTCCGAAATTTTGAAGCACAGTAATGCCTAAGTACTAATATACCTACCCAGAGGAAGAATGTTACACTGTATACAATTTAAAATAAAGTATACAAACATAACCAGGATTCAGCTGTAAGCATTTGCAACACATTAAACTAACAAGGGGTTTAAACTAACAAGGTATTTGTTTTCATTTTCTGTTTAAAGGGGAAATGAGTGTTAGCAAGATTGCTGGCTGGTTTGACTCAATGCACATCTTGTTGCATGTATGGATGCCTGGATGTACCCATCCAGGGTCCATACCTCTGTGATGGTTGTGTGCGAGTGGCTTCTCTGGAAGCTCAGATTGGAGATCTCGAGAAGCAAATCGCAACATTGAGGGAGATTGACAATATTGAGAGGAGTCTACTGCTCACTGAGCAGAGTTTAGTGGGGACAGGTAGTGGAGAGGGAGGAGATAAGACAGATGGGGAACAGGCATGTAGCTGGGTGACAGTAGGGCGAGGAAGCAGGGGGGGGAGGGAAGAGGAAAGGGCTAGCTAGTCCTGATCTGGTGCAACCTAGCAGATTTGCCCTTTTGAGGGAAGATGTTGGGAGCATCAGCTCAGGAGTAGCTGTATTAGAGGAAGCTGTTACTTCTAACAGCCAAGCTAACAGCCCCCCCTAGTGCGGGTGGGGATCAAAATGTAAGGAAGGCAAGACAGGTTGTGGTGGTAGGGGACTCTATCATTAGGAGAGCAGATAGAGCAATCTGCAGCTCTGATTGGCTCAACCGGACAGTTTGCTGTCTCCCGGGTGCTCGGGTCCGGCATGTTGCTGACAGAGTGGATGGATTATTGGGAGGGGCTGGGGATGACCCAGCGGTCATGGTCCATGTTGGTACCAATGACAAAGTAAGAGGAAGATGGAAGGTCCTAAAGAATGATTTCAGGGAATTAGGTAGCAAACTTAAGAAAAGGACCTCCAAGGTGGTATTCTCTGAGATATTACCTGTGCCACGTGCTACAGTGGAAAGGCAGCGGGAGATTAGAGAGGTCAATGCGTGGCTTAAGTCTTGGTGCAGGAAGGAGGGTTTGGGGTTTTTAGAGCACTGGGCCGACTTTGCGATTGGGTACAACCTTTATAGTGGTGATGGATTGCACCTAAACGGGAGAGGGTCTGCAGTGCTGGGGGATAGGATGGCTAGAAGGTTGGAGGAGATTTTAAACTAGTAGTAGGGGGGAGGGTCATAGCAATCTACAAAATGGAGATAGGACAGAAAGGAGATGGGCTTTAGCACAGTATAAGGGGGGTGGAAACAGGGGGAGGGGCAAGCTCAGAACAGAGAAGCTGTGTAATGTTGAAAATTCACAAAATATACAAATGACGCATAATATTAAATGTATGCTTACTAATGTAAGGAGCCTAAATAACAAATTGGGGGAACTAGAGGCATTAGCATACACTAAACAATATGATATAATAGGCATAACTGAAACATGGTGGGATGAGACACATGACTGGGCAGCTAACTTAAATGGGTACATGTTATTTAGGAAGGATAGGAAAAACAAGAAGGGTGGTGGGGTATGTTTGTATGTCAAACATGATTTAAAGCCAAATATTAAGCAAATGGAATGCGAGGAGGATAATGTGGAAGCTTTATGGGTAAATATCTGCTTGGGGGAAAAGAAGGGAAACCAACTATTGGTTGGGATATGTTATAAACCACCTAATGTTAATATTGACGAGGAACAACAGCTGTTTGAGCAAATTAAGAAAGCTGCAAATCTGGGTAACACTTTAATTATTGGAGATTTTAATTACCCGGATATAAATTGGGACAGAGGGACTAGTGCCTCAGCAAAGGGAATTAGGTTTTTAAACTTGTTAAATTACACCTTCATGTCACAACTTGTACAAGCACCAACTAGAATGGATGCTTGTCTGGACCTGGTTTTAACAAACAACGTTGATCTTTTGACCAACATTCAAGTAGGTGAGCACTTGGGAAATAGTGATCACAATATAGTGTCCTTTGAAATAAACTCAAAAAAACAAAAGCACATGGGGAATACTAAAACATATAATTTTAAAAAGGCCAATTTCAATAAGTTAAGGGAAGCTTTACAATATATTGACTGGCATAAACTCTTTAGTGAAAAGAACACTGAGGATAAATAGATCATCTTCCAACAAATATTAGAAAGGTACATTTCTCAGTATGTACCATTGGGAAATAAATATAAAAGAAACAAATTAAAACCAATGTGGCTTAGTAGAGAAGTAAAACAAGAGATTACAACTAAGAAAAGGGCATTTAAAGCATTTAAATCGGACAAATCAGATGCATCTTATAAAAGATATAAGGATGCAAATAATGCGTGCAAAAAGGCAATTAGACTTGCTAAACTTCAAAATGAAATAATGATAGCTGAAGAGAGCAAAACCAACCCCAAAGCATTTTTTAAGTACATAAATTCAAAAAACAAAACAAAATGAAAGTGTAGGTACACTAAAAACTGAAACGGGGGTGTTAATTAATAAAGACCAGGAAAAGGCAGGAATTTTAAATAACTATTTCTCCTCTGTATATATTAAGGAAGAACCCATGGCAATAGATGTGCAAATGATTGCTACTAAAAACTTGCAGAATAATTGTAATTGGTTAACTCAAGACAAGGTGCTGCAGCAACTAAAGAAAGTTAATATAAACAAAGCTCCAGGGCCTGACGGTATCCATCCACGTGTACTTAAGGAACTAAGTGCAGAAATAAGTGAACCTCTGTTTTTAATCTTTCAAGATTCTTTTCTTTCAGGAAGTGTTCCGGAGGATTGGAGGAAGGCAGATGTGGTTCCTATATTCAAAAAGGGTTCAAAATCCTTGCCTGGAAATTATAGACCTGTGAGCTTAACTTCTGTGGCTGGTAAAATATTTGAAAGGTTATTAAGGGATAATATTCAAGAATTCCTTGAGAAGAACATGGTTATCAGCAAAAATCAGCATGGTTTTATGAAGCACAGGTCATGTCAAACTAACTTGATTGCGTTCTACGAAGAAGTAAGTAGAAGTATAGATCAGGGTGTTGCCGTGGATGTGATCTATTTGGATTTTGCCAAGGCATTTGATAGAGTTCCACACAATAGATTAGTGTTCAAACTCAAGGAAATCGGTCTAGATGAAAATGCTTGTTCTTGGGTAGAACATTGGCTTAAAAACAGAGTACAAAGAGTTGTCATTAATGGTAAATTCTCAAGCTGGACAGAGGTGGCAAGTGGTGTCCCTCAGGGGTCTGTTCTGGGACCCCTTCTATTTAACATGTTTATAAATGATCTTGAAGACCGCATTGAAAGTCATGTTTCAGTGTTTGCAGATGACACCAAACTTTGTAAAACAATACAATGTGAGCAAGATATTACTTTGCTGCAGAGGGATTTAGATAGACTGGGGGACTGGGCACTCAAATGGCAGATGAAATTTAATGTTGAAAAATGCAAAGTTATGCACTTCGGCGTAAAGAATACACAAGCAACGTATACCCTTAATGGAAGCGAATTAGGGATAACAACACATGAAAAGGACTTGGGAATTGTTATAGACAACAAACTATGCAACAATGTGCAATGTCAATCAGCAGTGGCCAAGGCCAGTAAGGTATTGTCATGCATGAAAAAGGGCATTCATTCTCGGGACAAGAATATAATTTTGCCTCTTTATAAATCACTGGTAAGACCCCATATTGAATATGCTGTGCAATTTTGGGCACCTGTTCTAAAGAAGGATATTATGGCACTAGAAAAAGTGCAGAGACAGGCTACAAAATTAATAAAAGGAATGGAACATATCGGCTATGAAGAAAGGGTAACAAATTTAAACCTATTTAGTTTAGAAAAACGTCGCCTGAGAGGGGATATGATAACATTATACAAATATATTCGGGGCCAATACAAACCATTGTGTGGAAATCTATTCACAAACCGGACTTTACATAGGACACGAGGCCATGAGTTTAGACTGGAAGAAAGAAGATTTCGTCTAAGGCAAAGGAAAGGTTTTTTTACTGTAAGAACAATCAGGATGTGGAATTCTCTGCCTGAAGAAGTGGTTTTATCAGAGTCCATACAGATGTTCAAACGGCTACTAGATGCATACTTGCAAGAACAGAATATTCAAGGATATAATCTTTCAAAGTAGGGTAATAACTGCTTGATCCAAGGATAAATCTGACTGCCATTCTGGGGTCAAGAAGGAATTTATTTCCTAGCTTGTTGCACTTTTAGATTATTTAAATAAAGAATCCAGGCACCATAACCACTACAGCTCAGTGTAGTAGTTATGGTGCCAGGATCCCATCTTAGAGTAAGTAGTCAAACCGTTTAAGAATAGTTTGACAACTTACCTGGGGTCTGCTGGGATATAGGCATAGGAGCAGTGGTATGTGTTAGGGGTGAAGTGTGTGAAAGGTGCAGTGTGTGTGTGTGAGCGGTGAAGTGTGTGAGCGGCAGTGTATGTCAGTGTGTGTGTTAGGGGCAGTGTGTGTGTTAGGGGCAGTGTATGTGTGGGGCAGTGTGTGTGTGGGGGGGGTGTATGTATGGGTGGCAGTGTGAGTATGGGGGAGGTAGGGAGATTTTTTTTTTTTAAATTTAAATAAAATAAATATATTGATGCCCCCCCATCCCTTCTTACCTTTATTGAGGAGGAGGTGGGACATTTCTCCATCCCTGGTGTTCCCAGTGATTAGAGTGAACTCTAGCCCGTAGATCCAGGGCTAGAGTTCACTCTCGCGAGATTTGGAGCGTTGCCATAGTAACTGCGGCAACACTCCGTGCTCGCGAGAGAAGGACCCGGAGAAGCTGCAGGCTGGGCTCCCGGGTCCTCTCCCTCCCCTGCCAGCTGTCAACACAGTGCCTGCAGAACAGGGAGGGAGATCTCTGATCTCCCTCCCTGGTCCGCAAGCACATTGCAGGGCTGGCACTTGGACAATGCCAGCCCTGCATTAGCCGGCAGGGGAGAATCCTGGGAGGTGGGGGGCAAATTGCCCCATTGGCCCCCCCCGGATCCTCCATTGGTCGGACCAAACAGAAAAAAAAATACAGTATAAGCTGGTGGGGGAGATAAGAGACAAAGGGTTAAGAGGAAAGACATGAAAATAGACTCAAGGAGGTTATGAGACAAACAATAGGTTAAAAGAGGGTTGAGACACACAAAAGTTACCGGGTTTTAAATGGAAACACTTAAGGTCATTGAAATGGTCTAGGTGCAGTGGCCCAGGTCCCTTAACCCTGAGCAGGTCATTATTGTAATTCCTGAGAAACTGCAATAATTGCCTTGAAGGGTTAACTCCACCGGACAACCACTATAGAGACTTCCGGGTGGTTAGGTGACTTTTGGTTACGCACAATGGCATCCAGCGTAACCTAATACCCCATAGGAAAGCATAATACATGGGCTTTTCGATGGGGAAATCGGCACTTGCATTAGGTCCCCCGCTCGCCGGCTGAAGTCGGTGGTGGAGGACCCTGAACCAGCGCTGAGAGGCATTGGCGCTAGAATCAGGAAAGTGCACCACACAGGAAGGGGTGACGAGAGCTCTAGTGCCAGGAAAACAATGTTTTCCTGGCACTATAGTTTCTTTTTAAGAACAATTTGTTAAAAGGTGGTTTAGACACACAAGGAGGTATCGGGTTCCATGGTAAGGGTGCATAATTCATTGTTGCACTATGGAATATTGTCATTTATTGTAATGTGTGTAGTGCATAGATGAACTGGCTGCTTGGTAGAGGTGGTATTGTCAATTCCAAAAGGGGTTAATTTGATTGTATGGGAGGGCAGAATGTTTACAACCTAAATTCCTCTTTGATGCTGGGACCCTAACAGAACTACTCTGTAAAGTGTGAGAAGTCACACATAAGTGGCCTGGAAGTCTGGTTTAAATATAAGCTAACTTATTTGCCATATGTCTAGATTCCCTCTTAGATAGGGGGTCCTTTGATATGTTAATGGACATTAACCTTGTGTTCCAGAATCATATCCAAAAGAAAAATTAATACTTACCCACAGATTAATAATTAAGCCTCATTTTTTATTATATTTAGAATGGGACAAGCAGAGTCTTTTAATCAAGTCTAAACATGAGTTGTGTAACTATTTGGATTGATGTTGGTCTGGAACACAAGGAGGTGGTCACTTATTGTCTCTATAGGTACGCCTTATCTCCACCTTTTGGCCAGGCTTGGTAATCCACAGGATATACATCAAATGATATTGAAATATGTATTGCACTTGCTTAGGGCCACAATCTAATTTTGAGTGAGTCACCATCTTCCTTGCCAGAGACCCCCTGGGCAGAAATTTTACTTTGAAAACTTAAATGATTAGGAAGTCTGTTATTTTATCTGTTGTGGGGGTAAATAATTTATCATCTATTTTTTGCTCATAATAAATATTCCTTTATTAAGTTCTGCCTTTGTCTGGTAAAGAATCACGTTACCTGAAGAGACTAATTAGAGTTTTGCATTTGCTTTAATATTGTTCTATGTTTTTGGTGTTAGTGGTATTTTGGTGAGTTTTTATTAATAAGTTACCTGGGGGACCAAGGCACCCCATTTATAAATTGTCTTGGTGGTGGCCATGGTTAAGTGTGGGTGGTGTTAAGGGGGATTTTATCATTATTTCCGTGTCTAGTGCAGACAAATAGTGAACATTAACAATTCCACCACCACAACTACATCACACACACTCTTGGAGTAGGGTGCGTTCGTGACGTCGGGGTTTACGAACAATGGGTTAAAAGGTGGTTGAGAGACACAAAAAGGTTACTGGATTTAAGAATGTGTTAAAAGGGTTTAGATACACAAGGAGGTACCAAAGTTTAACAGCAACACAATGGATTAGGAATGATCAAAGAGATACTGTAGGCACCCAGACCACTTCAGCCCATCAAAGTGGTCTGGGTGCCAATTCCCATCACCCTTAAACTGCAATAATTACCTTGCAGAGTTAAGTACTCGTCTTGTGGCTGTCTACCAGACAGCCACTAGAGGGACTTCCAGGTGCTTAGACAACTTTTGGTAGTCTAAACAACACTGGACGTCCTTCCGCTATGCATGAGGATCTCCAACGTCGCCGGAATCCCCATAGAAAAGCATTGTGCTGCGCTTGTCCATTAGGTCTCCCCTGCCGGGCAAACGTCCGCGGGGGAGGAGCATGGGCGGAGACTGACCCAGCACAGAGGGACATTGGCACTGGATTCAGGTATGTGTCTGAAGGAGTTTTAACCACTTTAGCGACATGGGATGGGGGGCACTCCAGGATTCTACAGTTCCAGGAAAACGGGTTTGTTTTTCTGGTACTAGAGAATCCTTTTAAGAGACACACAAGTGGTTAAGGATGTTTAAAAAAAAAAAAAATACACACAAGGTAGAAAGTGGACATAAGAGACACACAATAGAGTAAGGTGAAATGAATATCAAAAAGTTTACAAATACTAAAAACAGAATAGAATTTTCTACGTCAGTTACATTTGGCCTAAACTTTGAAATTCACTTTGAATTCAGTTTGCATTTCCAATAATTCTCACATTAGTGAATAACCCATGTAGTGTAATGTATGCGAATAATGTATGTGAATACACATTTCTAGTATATATGATTGATACTATCTGACATGGTTATTCACTAAAGTGGAATATACTGTGAATTCAAATAGTAATTGGCACAGCACCAGGATACAGAGCATCCTTGGCCTGGAAAACACAGTTAAGTATATATGATGTCAGAGTATTTATATCGGCAGACATTTTGTGCTATGATAGAAACTAAAAGTGTATATTCTGAGTCACTCTGAACAGACCAGACTCCATTTTGTTATTTCAAGTTAACAAAAAAGACACTAGATTTCTTTCTGTAAGACTGGCCTCTTTGCCAGAGCTAAGGAATGTATAGCATAGTATAAACAAGTGATAAGAAGAATATAATCAAATCTAAACCCAGACAATTGTGACAGAGAAGATTAAATAATTTAAATTTAACTGTCTATATATATATAAGGTACCATTGTATGGAAAAGGGTAAACTTAGTTCATGATCTGTCATATCAGAAATTATAGCAGATTTGCAGACACATAGTCTGGACAAAATTTAAGAACCCCTTTGATCTTTGAAGGATACGTAAGTTATAGCCACTATCTAGATAGGCCAAAATGACGTCAAAATAGCCACCAGGAAAAGTTAACTCTTTCCTGGATAGGTATGTTTAGTGGGACAAGACTGCCCTCTACAGACCAAATAACTAATTTGCGATCTGGAAGATAACCACACCTCTAGTGCTTCTATTGGGTTATCAACTGATGACGTACAGAGAGTCTGGCCCTTTAAAAGTTAAGACAAAGGGAAGATAGAAAAAAATACGAAGGAGGCAGATGCAAGATATGCAAAGGAGAGAAAAGAGAGGAATTGGAAGTTTGGGGACTCCAACCTCCATGCAGAGACACATCCAAATAAATTCCTGAGACTACCAATCGGATGAAATATCTACTCAACTGGTAATTATACTGGTTTCATTTAATTAAATTAAATTAATTAAAATGTATTAATAGCATTATATATGACTGGATAAAGCACGGTCAGATTTCCATATTAAGAAATCTTAGTTAACTAAGAATATATAGTTATAAACATTCCATTCTGCAGGTGGAATTAAGAATAATTATATATTGATGTGATATTATCACGTGTTAGCATACCGCTGTTTTTATCCAGGTGTATTGATTTGCTCTAAATTAAGATAGATATCTTTTAGACAAATTAAAAATCTGCTTATATAATATGTAGATTCTCTTATTGGATGGTTTAAGAAAATGAATTTAAACTGGTTTAAATGTTATTTTATTTAAAAATTACATAAGAATAGATCTTAACTACCTAGGAGATCTAGCCAGCATTGAAAGGGTTATTCTAACTGTCTGCTAAACTTTACGACCTTACGCTGCACTCTGAGGAATTCTGTTCTTCGCTGTGAAAAGTTTCACTTTCAGCCTGTGTTAAAGATAGTCATAAATCGTAGAAGTCTTGACAGATAATGCCGTTAAGCCATTGAAACGTAATACCCATTCCTTTGTATTGCATACCATTTTATACTGAATATTCATTGATTATTGTCATGCATGTTACATATATTATTATTAATTATTGGTTATCATAAATAAAAATCTATTTTTATATAAACTGTGAATATTATTTATATGGTATACATTTCACTTAACACGATAAACGTTCTTTGGGATCTGAGAATTGAATTAGTGGGCAATTCTCACTGTTACTATTATTATCCCATAAATATCCCCACATATTGGAGGCACGGTGCTGAGATCGTTTAAGTTGAAATTGTATTTCATATATAATAATAATATTGGTGTAATTCATGCAATTTAATCTTGATATAGAAAAGAGTTTTGTATTGAGATTAAATCACTGTATAGAAATATGGCTGAATCCAGCAATACGTCTGTAACAGATAATACTGAAATAATTGAAGACCTAAGAAAACATGCTCTAGTTCATATTCATAAACATATGAAAAATGATGCAACCTATGAGGTTTGGTTGAAAAGCATAGAATGGGAAGCTAAACAAACCATTCTAACTGATGAACACATCATCATATATCTTAAAGAAATTGCTGAACAAAAGAACATAGAAAGGAAAATGGCGTACATAATACACTCTTGGCCTTTCTTTATGACAGCACTTCTTAAGGTGTGTGATGAAAACAAGTCACTGAATGCCAAATTGGACACGTACAGTGACGATTTGGGCATTCAAAATGGGAAATACCAAGATTTACTTGCTGAGCATAAAACTCGTCAGGCTGATCATGAAAAAGAAATGAAAGCTTTGATGGATAAATATGCACAGGAAATAAATCAGCTTAAAATGCAATTGGATGAGTATGAAAAGGAGAGTCAGAAATTAGACAGTGAGGTTAGTAGTCATCATTCTGTGCCAAAAAGTTGCACAAAAATGCAAGAAAGGACTATTTGTAAATCCCCTCCTTATTATGATTTTCCCACACCAAACCAGGTTTTCATAAAACAGTCTGTAAGTAAAAAGGTGAGTAATTCTGAGAAAACACCTGTAGGTTCTTGGCAATCATGGGCAGAACAGTTTGAAAAGACTGTCCTGGCCATGCTTGACAGAGAGAGTCCAATTCAAGGTGATAGGAATGAAAACAGACATGGTTCTGTACACTGGCAGGATTCTGATGCTGATCAGAATTGTGACAGTGAACAAGAAGCTCAGAGTGATGGGAGTGAAAGTGATTGCACTATCCACTCTGAAGGCCATGTAACTGATATGCCATCTGCGCTGTTGTATGGGTCTAATTCCTCTTCAGCAGACAGATCGCATAGACGTTTACCCAAACACAGAAACAGAGATCGTAAATCAACGACGCCTGTTTATGAAACACCAAAGGTCATCAAATTCCTTAGAGAGACTGTCCCACAATTTTCTAGAGGTTCAGGAAACATATCTGAACATCTGGAAAATTATGATAGAGCAATGAATTCATTGGGCATGTATGATGACATTCATAAGAAATGGTTCATTACATGGACCTTTGATTCAATGTGCCGTGTTTATCTAGAAAGTCTTCAAGCTATACAGTTAATGTCCTGGTCCAAGATGAAATATGAAATAATCATGGAATATGGTAAGTATAAAACTATTGCCTCTGCAAAGAAGGCGCTTTATAACTTAAAGTGCCGTCCAGATCAAAGCCCCAGAGAATTTTTAATAATTCTTAAAAATGCATACTCCGTGGCCCAAAGAAAACCCAGGTATGAAAGCACAGACTTCAAAGATCTGTATTTTCATGCCATGCCGGTAAACATACAAATGAATCTCGCAAGAGATTACGATTGTAAGTTACCATTAGAATGGCTAGTCAGTCAATGCATGAAGTTGTACACTATACACCATGCACATGACGAAAATCAGCCAAAGGTTAAGAAACCTGGTGATAAAATGGTGTCAGAGACTAAAATTCAGTTAGGTTTAGAAACCCAACAGAAAAAGTAGACCTATTCCGAGGTTTTGAAAACACCATAACCTCAGAAACAGGAAAACGACAGAAGCAATTCTGCAAATTCCTCTAATAACTCTGAAAAGTCCAATGCCAATGGGAATAAACGCCCCTGGGTTAATAAGAACCAAGGCAATTCCCAATGGAGAAGGAATCCTCAGGGAAATAGGAGATATGGAAACAGAAACAACCAATCTGCTTCCAATAACTCCCAACAGTCTCAGCCATCCCAGCCAAATTCTAATGGGCAAAGACAAAACGGCAATGGAGGAAATAATTTGCGTCGTCAGGTTGGTCAATTGACTGACCAGATGGGCAAATTAATGGAGGAAATGACAAAGATTAACCAAGTCTTTGCTCTCAATCCTTTTTTAGGGATAGCTCCAATTGCAGAACTACCTGTGCAACCGCAGCAACAACCACAGGTGCCGCAGCAATAATAGCCACTGTGACTAAACAGGCTAGGTTATCAGTAGATGTAATGCCTAACCCTGTTTCCTTTCCAGGTACTCATAGTCAGACAAACAATAGTTGTGTTAGAAAACCTATTGCCTATACCGTCACTTCACTTTCGGGTGAAGGAGGCGCAACGTGTTCCTCTGTTTTTTCATTTCAGCCAAAGGCTAAAATAGCCCCAGCAACCACTAGTTTCCAGGATCCAGACCTGAAAGGGTTAACTGATGAGATGCCGACCACTAGTTCCCGCTTGACAGTTCAAGATATTCCTAAAAAGGATGGGCCTGTGGGTAAGACTGAGCATTCCTCAGTACAGGTAGAAACTACTGCTGTGACCGGTAATGTATGGAAAACGAGTGATATGTTGACACATTCTAACTTCTTATGTGAATTAGAAGAACATGAAGGAAGGTACTACATGTCTGTAGAAATACAAGATTCGCTACCCCAGCCTTTGAAAGGGTTAATAGATACTGGTTCACAAGCCACTATCTTATCCAATACCTACTTCCAGCAGGTAATGGACTTAGCAACGGATAAGCCGAAGCTAAGAGATTTCCCCAATGCTCTGTTGAGTGTAGGAGGAAATGCCCTTCATGTTATTGGCAATACATGGTTAAAGTTTAAAATAGGTAACAAAACCTTTAGACACCCGGTGATAGTGGTAGATCTCCCCTATGACCGACTGATTCTGGGTATAGACATACTAAGAAGACTTAACACAATTATTGACTGTGTAAATGGAATTGTATGGTCACAAGCTAAGGTTCCCATAACCTATGAGAAATCACATGTTCAATCTGATCGTAACTGCCATGTGATAGAAGAAAGACCTGACTCAATTGAGGTACATTTTAGAAATAGTCAGTCACCTGACGTGACTATCCTACAGGTGAATG